TTATGGTTAAGTGAAATAAGCCAGTCAGAGAAAGACAAACACCATCTGAGCTCACTTATACGGGAAATCTAATCAACAAAATAATTTAACACACACACAAAAAGAAGCAGAAGCATAGATACATAGAACAGACTGACAGCTGTTAGAGGGGAGGGGGGCTCTGAGTTGGTTGAAAAAATGTGAAGGGATTAATATATATATATATATATATATATATATATATATATACACATACACACACACACACACACACACACACACACACACACACATAGGCCTGGTGCACGAAATTCATGCATGGGGGGGGGGTGGTCCCTCAGCCCGGCCTGCAACGATGCCAGCGTCCCATGCCCCGGCTGGCCTCTGGCCAAAGGCCCGCCCGCCTGCATGCCCTCCCTCCCTCCGCAGGCCGGGGTGCGTGGGACGCTGGAGCTTGTTGCCTGAGGGCAGATCCAGCTGTGCCGCTTGGCTGCCACTCCCCCCAGCGGGGCTGACAGGACTGGATACTCCAGCGGCGGGGATGAGGGGACTGGGCACTGCCATCTTGTGGCTGTGGGCACCGCCAGCTTTTGTGACGGAGTGACGGTTAATTTGCATATTACCCTTTTATTATATAGGATATATATGACACATAGACATGGACAACAGTATGGTGATAGCCAGAGGGAAAGGGGTTGGGGAATGTGGAAGTGGGCAAAGGAGGGATGAATGGGGATGACTTGACTGGGTGGTGAGCGCATGATGCAGTGTGTAGATGGCGTTTTATTGAGTTTGACTAAACAGTTTTACTTTATCCTTTCCCATCTTTACTGCACTGACTAGGACCTCAAATACAAGTTTGAACATACATCCTCATCTTGGTGCAGATTTTAGGGGGAAAGTGTTCAATATCTTATCACTCAATATGATGCTGCCAGTAAGTATTTTGTAAACTCCCTTTATTAGGTTGAGGAAGTTCCCTTCTATTCCTTGTCTGTTCCTTGTCTGCTGAAAGCTTTTATTAAGAACTTTGTAAAATGTCTTTACTGTACCTATTGAAATGATCGTGTGTGTGTGTGTTTTCTCATTAATTCTGCTGTTATGATAAAAAGCACTAATCAAGTTTTAAGTATTATACCAACCTTGCATTCCTGGGGAAAAACCACTTTGTCCTCATGTACCATGGTATATATCAACATAGGTGTAACTCCATCTATTGAAAAAATTCCACATTATTAACTGGTACAACTGGTAACCAAGAAAAATGAAAGCACATGTCCACAGAATCACTTGTACATGAGGGTTCATTGTAGCTGGACATAACCCAAATATATATTGATGGGAAACAATAAAATCACACAATGGAACACTATTCAGCAATAAAAAGAAGCTGCAGACATGACCAAATCTCAGAGACATTAGATTTAGCAAAGAAGCCAGGCGCAGAAGAATATATACTGTATGATTCTCTTTAGATAATGTTCTAGAACAGACTAAATAAACTATAGAGATTAAAAAAATCAGAACTGCTGCTGGAGAGGATAAGAAGTAGTGGGAAAACTTAACTAGAAAGGGCTACAAAGTAACTTTCTAGGATGATGTAAAAATATATACCTTGTTTGGGGTGGTGGGTTTACTGGTATATGTAACTCCATCTATTGAAAAAAATCTGCATTATTAACCAGTAAACCAGGTATGCATAACTCCATCAATTAAAAAAATCCACGTCATTAACTGGTACAGCTGGTAAAACCAGGTGAAACCATTAATACTGATCACTACCAACAACAAATAATCAATTTAAACCACGCTTTGATCATAAAATAACCGGAATGGGCCAGAAGACATGGCAAAGTAATTTTGCTTCATGATGATGCACCAACACACAGTTCAAAACCAGTTAAAAACACGTTAAAAGATCTTGCCTGGGAAGTGTTAACCCACCCGCCATATTCACCAGACCTTGCTCCTTCAGATTACCACTTGTTCTGATCGATGGCACACGCACTTTCTGAGCAGCACTTCAAAACGTACAAAAAGGCAGAAAATTTGGTCTCTGAATGGTCTGCCTCAAAACAAGAAAAGTTCTATTGGGACGGTCTCCAGAAAGTACCTGACAGGTGGGGGAAATGTGTAGCTCTCAATGGACATTACTTTTAATAAAGCACTTTCGATGTTTCTCTTGAAATTATTGTGTTTTCTTTGATTGCAAAATCTCCATTATTAACCAGTACACCTGGTAGAAGCTCATAATACACCACACCTTCCTGATCCCACCAAACGCAGAGCATTGTCTTCTTCCCAAAGCAATTTGGCCTTGCAGTCAATGTTGATGGTTGACCTGAATCAACCCATAATTTTGTGCGTTTGGGGTTCTCAAAATCCACCTTTCATTGCCAGTCACAATTCAATGCAAAAAAGACTTTCGTGCAAATGAAGCAACATTTTATTGATGACTTTTTGGTTTTCCATTTGTCTTTTGTTCAGTAGATGTGGCACCCATTTTCCTGCCTTTAAAATCGTTCCCATTGCTTATAAATGATCGAAAATTGATTGCTGAGCAACGTTTAATCTTTCTGCAAGTTGTTTTTGAGTTTGACACGCATCTTCATCCAATAATGCTTGTAATTGTTGGTCTTCAAACTTTTTCGGTTGACCTGGACGTTCTTCGTCTTCACATTGAAATCATCACTTTTAAAGCGTTTAAACCAGCATTCACAAGTATCTTGAGATAGAGCATGTTCACCATAAGCTTCCCGAAGTATACGATAACTTTCAGCAGCACTTTTCTTCAAAATAATGAATTAAAACTTCCTGCAAATGCTTTTTTTCGCACGAAATTCGACATTTTTAAGCGTAAAAATACCTATGATGTTAACACCTTCAGAAAACTTGACATGAGTTTTGAAGCTTGTTGTCAATACAACAAAATAGCATACATATCAAATTGTTTATATATCAACATATGTGTAACTCCATCTATTGAAAAAAATGCACATTATTAACCGGTACACAGGGTTCTCTTCTGTCTTCTAAAATGTTATGTAAGACTGGTATAATCCATCTTTAAACATTTCATAGAACTTACCGGTGAAGACATCTGGGTATGGAATGTTCTTTGTGGGAAGGGTAGTAAATCAATTTTTTAAATACCTATTCAAACCTTCTTTTCATGTCTGTTTTGGTAATTTGTGTCTTTCAAGAAATTTACCTATTTCATCTAAGTTGTAAATTTTATTGGTGTATGGTTTCTAAACCAAGATAAAGGGGTCAAAGACCAGCCCTTCCTTTGGGTGAGTCCAAATTCCTTACTACACATGGACCTTGTTATTAGGAGATACTTGATGATGGACTTAGAGGTAAGGAGTCATGAGATCATTGTACTGCTTTACAACTCTGTAGATTAAAATTCAAAATAAAAAGTTAGACAACATATTCCTATTCCATAACCCAGCAATTTAAGGAAACAATCAGATCACACACATACTCTGCACCAGGAGTTTACCATGGAACAAAGTTTGAAAACACCCTAAACATCCCACAAAACACAAAGAAGATTCAATAAACAAACTACAGTGTAATATGACACCAAACACCCTAAACCAACAAAATCACATTTTTTTTCCAGGAAAATTCTCATTACAGGTAGACTACTGAAGGAAAAAGTTGCCACACCAAATATATGACCCCATTCTATGTGCACAGGGAAGACTTCGAAGAAACTCAGTGCAAATGTGGTGTCTCTGAGTGGTGGGGTCAGACGTGACTCTTCACACTCCTTTGCTGGATTTCTTGAAGGGTTCCAGATACTCTCACCACTCCAGAGGCAACAGGGAGAGCTTGCATTGACTTAGGGGTTAGCAGACCAGGAGGGTCTGGATTAACCCAACAGGGAGGTGGTGAAGACTGGCCACGGGGTAGCCCAGCAGAGTGGAAACAGTGAACTGGAGGAGAAGTGGCCAGACTCTGAGATCCGGCCTCACTCCATCCTAAACAGTCAAAGGTTGGGAGAGTAAGATGGCCTATGTGAAACAGGTAAAGTTTCAGACAAATGTAAAAGCACCTGCCTTTCTATTTTGTTCCAAAAGTGCACTGAAGGACTTGGTAGCTTTTATTACAGGAAATGAAGTGCTTTACATTTATAACGTGAAGGTTAATGCAGGCTATGAGCTGTCGAAAATGCTGTAACATCTTTGAAGAGTTGGACTTGGATGAGAAAAGTAGCAACGCCATAGTACCAATAAGCTCTGCCACAAGAACAATGGAGTGTACCATGTTCAAGTTGAGCAGGACAGAAAGTGAACTTCATTTGACAGGCAGCAGGGAATAGGGATCTGAGTCACCTGGGCAAGAGCCCTGGCAGGGAAGGGTTCCAAGGGCAGGAACCACCCTTACAAAAGGAAGATCGCAAAAACATAAATATTCCAAGAAGCTGTACTGAAGAACTGGAGAAGGGGACCAGAGGATTCTCACGGACTGCAGCACCACTGGGCACAATGCCATGGGGGCTGCACCATTGTCTGCAGCTTGAAACTTAGGGACAAGCAGATTCCCTTCTGAAGTGCGGGTCTGAGCGTGCTGACAATCACATGAGCAGAAAGGTTATCTTGATAGGGAGCCAGAGGCCAGTGGCTGCACAGGTATCTGACTAGCCTGCAGTGTGGTAAGAAGACGCAAAGACCAGCTGTCGAGGAGCGGAGAGACATTTTTGTTTTCCTAACCTTTTATTTTCTTCCCTGTAATGCCAGGGACAAATCTTTCCTGGTTTGGACTCTGACAATACTCACAGCAAGGAGGTCAGCTTCTCATGTGGGATTCTTGTTCAACCATCTACTCTTAAGAGTGTGAAACTGACCCATTTTTTTGACTAAATCATGCTACCAGGTGCACTTAAAGCAAAAAACTCACTGCTTTCTGCAGTAGGAACAATGAAGGCAGGAAACATTGTGAAATCAGGATGTTGAGAGGTAGGTTGAGAACTGGCCACAGAAACAGTAAAAATAACACAAATGCAAACTGCAGAGGTTAAATTCAGGCGATTTATTGTAAACAGGATTACCCTAGCACTCCACCACACGGGCTGTGTCACATGCTCTCTCTTCCAAATCAACTAGCCCAGAAGACTCTTCTAAAATGTCGCAGGTGACTAATAACTTAGTCTGTTTCACAAATCTTTACTAAGCACTGAGTAAATAGTTTCGGGATACAGAACCTGGGTTGTCTGATATTGTTCCTGGACTGCAGCTTGGACCCAGCTAGATGAATCCATTAGTATGCCTGAGTGATCGATCCAATGGTAGCTCTCGATCCAATCTGGAAACCAGCCGATGCTGGAGCACACCCAATAATAACCTCACGTCCCTGGAAGACCACATGCCATTCCTTTCAGATTTCTTCATGTGACTTGTTCATAAAAATAACTTGAATTTAACTTTTTTTTTTTTTACAAGAGCTTAAAGTTACTCAGTTATTCACCCTTATAGTGGTGGACTCAAACACTCACGGCTAATTTTAGATTCCTCTTGTATATACTTGCAGTTCGATGAAAAGCTGCATAGTCTACAAATGCATAAAACCAGAAGGAAGTGAGGACTCACACACCTTCCGAGGGACAAAGATGGGCTTCACACAAGGAAGCCCGTGAAGGTAGGGATAGAAGACAGTTACAGCACCACGTTTATGTGACGGAAATGGAGCCCCGCTTTCCAAAGCAGCCTCCGCAGCAGTGATTATATCACTCTTGCCCCAAATTTAGATTACTTGGGAAATGGAAAATGTGAAAACTGAAGATGTGAAAAGACATGATTCTACAGAAAGAAATCCTGCCCAATGGGCTCGTGTGGAGGTAACAGGTCACTGGAAAATGCCACTCATTGCTCTGCCTGAGTTAGTGGACAACAGGGCCACTATTGTTACAGGCGCCTGTGTGTGGAAGGTAGTCACAATTTCTCTTGAAGTTTAGTAACAGCAAATATTTCAAAACAGCTGTTAAAGCTATCGTAACAATTTCACTTAAAATAGTATCTCATGAGAAAAATATTTTTTAAAAGTCCACTGCAGTCATCATTTGTGTGTTCATATGTTTATATTTATATATATTTTAAAAAAAACACCTTAATGCTTATGGGAATATTAGATTGGCAGTAAGAATGGATTTTAGGGTCTTATGGAGATCATGCTAGTAGAGAATCCAAGACTTTATTTTTTTATACCTCAAAAAAGGTGGCTTTGTTCTTGTTGCCTTTTGATTCACAAGGGGGCAAATATTTTGGTTCATATACTACCACTCATGGTAATAAAAAGTGACAGGTGTCTACACGAGCTGATGTTGGAAAAGCATGTCACACACTCAGTGGGATCTGAAGTTCGCCCTATTTGTACTTGTTAAACACAGTAACATGTTGATGGGGAAAAGTAAAACTGATGGAACACCACAAACCAACGACGAACAACAAGAATGTCGATATAGTTCAATCAGAAAGGAACAAATCACAGTAATCCTGAGAAATTCAGTTTGGGACAAAATTGATGTAAGGTGAATCTGTGTTTCTAGCACTATAAAGTAGGGTGTTCTAGGGTTTTCCAGCATTTGACTAGTTTGAATAAAAAACATGTTCAAATTTTATAAAAAGATTAAAACCATGCCTTATATTCAGCAATTTCACTAATAAAAGAAAATTGCATTGCTTTGTTCATTATCTGCCAAATGTAATGTTCTCCATTGATTTACACGAAACCATCAGGTAGAAAGCAAGTTTGAGGATCGCTTTTTAAAAAGGTATTACCTTTCTTTCTACCTGCTTTGAAGCCTTTGCTGTCAACCTAGGAGGCTTTTAGAAAAAACGTAACATTTTCTTCTAATAAGTAACTATTTTACAGAAGAGGGAAAGAAGGTTCTAAAGGAATATCATTCATCATTTTAAGTATTGTTATATAAGGGAATTTCTCTTAGTAATGAAAAATTTTTAAATATTTAAGAGGCATGTATTTTAAAAATACTCTACATCTATAAGATCTTGTAATTTAATTACTCTGGATTTTTAATGTTTCTACATAATGACATCTGACACCATCTCTTTTTCCGTGTGTGTTGCTAACAGTGAACCAGAAACTCTTCAAGTGGCCAAGACTGTTTCGTAGCCTGGAAGACCCGGGAATGCGTCCGCCTGCACTCTGCCACCGTGGGGTCTTCAGAGCTTTGCAGCCATGAAGTTGATATGTGGCTTCACAAGGGGGAACAGGGGCAGGCCTCGCTTGAACTCGGTCATGTTCTGAATCACTTCAGGCTGCAAAGGAAATAAGTTGTCTCTTAGTGCCTTCAGCCTAAAAAGCAGACCGAACAGGGCATAGACATTTTCCTTTTCTTTCATACACTAGTTTCTACCCATACATTATGACCTTTCCTCCTGGATCAGCAGGTCAGAGGGTATACGAAAACCTGCGGGAATGCCCCCGTGAGATTCTGGGCCGGAAGGAAGACCCCCGGCTCTCTTGGGGCTGGCACACCAGGGGCTCAGCGCCAAGGCTTTGGCAGAGTGCCAGCAGCGCGTGTGCCCACCCAGCAAGAGCCTGGCTACACCGCCAGTTTTCCTCCTCCTGCAATTAAATGCCAGCCCTTCCAGATGATTAAAATACGCAGGCACTGTGGAAGGGACTGGGGCCAAAGGGGCTGGACATAGCTCGTTGCAGAGTAACACAACTGTTGAAGCTAGAGGCAAAGGCAGACAAGAGCAGAGGCTAAGCTTCTGTGCAGCTGAAAATACAAAGGTATGGCCCCTGGGAGCTGTCAGGAGGAGAAGGACCTGGCTTTTAAGAGAGACCTAAAGCAGAGGCTTGAACAGTCGGTGGCCTGAAGCCGCTAGGTCCTCCTAGGTCAGTGATGGCGAACCTATGACACGCGTGTCAGAGGTGACACGCGAACTCATTTTTTTGGTTGATTTTTCTTTGTTAAATGGCATTTAAATATATAAAATAAATATCAAAAATATAAGTCTTTGTTTTACTATGGTTGCAAATATCAAAAAATTTCTATATGTGACACGGCACCAGAGTTAAGTTAGGGTTTTTCAAAATGCTGACACGCCGAGCTCAAAAGGTTCGCCATCACTGTCCTAGGTGGTAAGTCCTCTCACAGGGCAACCTAACAAAACATTCACATTTCTTACCTGTGGCAAGGCTGGTGCTTGTGACAGATTTATATCATTTTGACACGGGAACTCTCCAACCACAGGACCTATAAGAAAACGAAGGGCTTAGTGCTTTGCACTGACTGAGACTAGCACACAAGAGCAACTTTAAAAATAAAATCAAAACCAGACTCAGCTCATTACACAGCTGTGCCAGACCTGGTTTGTGTACTTCTCAGATCCTCCCAGGCTGCCTGCTCCCTGAGCCCTGCCTGCCGTCCTGCCTCCTCCCTGGAGTCCCAGTGATGGCTCATGATGTTACCATGGTTATTAAAGCAGCAATTTTAGTGCCCAGGTCTGACCTCACTGGACCCTGAAGCTCTGGCCACCAAAACAAACAACCAGAGCAGCAGCACTTATTGGTTGTGGGGCAAACTTGGCCAGTCAGAGGCAGGAGATGGGCAGGCTGAGCAGATGCCCCCCTGCCCCCAACACACACATACACACACACACCCACACACACAGTGCTCCATACAACTGCCTCGGGATGTCCCACCAGCCGCTAGCTGTGTTTTCTCACAGCACCGTGGCCAGCCTGGCACTGTGCTACCTGGTCGGCTCTCTCCTCTGCTGCCTCATTCCCCTTTCCCCCTATTTTGGCTTTGCTAGAGCAGACCCTGTCTCCCGCCAGCTCCCCTCTGCACTTCTTTACTTCCTGGTGCTCCATAAGGATGTGGCTATGGCAAGAGACAGCTAGCAGGTGACTAAAAACATACATGTTTTTAAAAAGTCAATATTTAATACTTACAAGAATCCATTTCTCTGGCAAGAACATGGACGGACACCTTATGTCTCCTCGGGGCATCCACTGCCAGCATTTCCTAGGCAGAGAGAATAGCCGAGTCACCTTTCGCCCCACGAAGGGACAAAAAGATGCTCTCTTACAGCAAAGAAGAGTCAGCTTCCTTCCCTTCCTCCACACTTGCAGTCTTTTATTTAAACTCTACAAACCTTAGGCAAGAATTGTTCTTAACCCCATTTCACAAATGCGTCCAAGGAGATTAGGTGATGTGATCAAAACTTTACGCCTACTAAGTACCTCAGCTGGGATTAAAAACGGAGCCGCGCACTCACTGGGGTATGATACTGGGACAATGGCCTGCGCTTAGTCAAGGGACGACCACAAAGCCTGCTCCTCTAAGACCCTTCTCCCATTCTGCAGCTACCAAGAGAAGGAAACCAACGTTTGTTGAGAGTTCTGCTTTGTACCAAGCACTCTCCTGTGTCAGCTCATTTGAGTCTAAGCTACGACGCGACCTCTAAAACACAGGTAGAAGGACTTGCTGCTGTCCCAGCTCATAAGGGATGATGTCGGAAGGGAGGGCTGCTTGCTCTCCATCCCACCACATTGCTTTGGAGGCTCCCCCTTGGTCATGGCCATGAGCACCTGGAGTGGGCGGCTGGCAGACAGATCCTGTGAGGAGTGTAGTGTCTCTACACCTGTTTCTTAGTGCTGGATCTTAATCCATGTTTTCCGAAGGGAAAACACAAGTTGTGATAAAGCTTCCCCTAATGCCTCAGGCCAAAGTAACATTTTGTATCCTCAGAGGAAGAGACCATCAGCGAGGCCAAATCAACCCCACAGTTATTTATGGAGCTGTTATGATAAGCCTGGTCCTGTGCAGCTGCCATGGAGGCCCTGCCCATGCTACACAGCACACCGACCACGGCTTCTCCAGCTGGTGAGCAGCCAGGTTCTCCCACACGTGTGCTCTGGCCTCTCCAGTTCTTTCAGAATTCAGGCCAGGTCTGCCGCCAGGAACATGGATGAGAGCATCTGACTGGAGTGAAAAGTTTGCTTCCAAAGATCTATTCTTGATCACTTTTCACCCAAACCTTCACAGTCTTCTTATTAACCTACAGTAGTTGACAGTAGAATGATGCCCTCTTCGGTTTCAGACTGTTCTCAACTTCCTGACCAACTGGGGATAATCCCCATTTCTCTAAAGGCAGGTCAACCAACCAACCAACCAACCAACCAACCGATGTGAGAGGGACACATCGACTAGTTGCCTCTTTCATGGGTCCCGACCAGGGCTGGGAATCGAGCCTGCACCTGAGGTACGTGCCCTTGACCGGAATCGAACCCAGGACCCTTCAGTCCATGGGCCGTCACTCCATCCACTGAGCCAAACCAGGTAGGGCTAGATTTTATTTTATTTTATTTTTTTAAATATATTTTATTTATTTTTTACAGAGAGGAAGGGAGAAGAATAGAGAGTCAGAAACATCGATCAGCTGCCTCCTGCACACCCCCTACTGGGGATGTGCCCGCAACCAAGGTACATGCCCTTGACCGGAATCGAACCTGGGACCCTTCAGTCCGCAGGCCGACGCTCTATCCACTGAGCAAAACCGGTTAGCGCTAGATTTCATTTTTAAAAGCAGTTTTAAGTTTACAGCAAAACTGAGTGGAAGGTACAGAGATTTCCTATACACCCGTTGCCTCCACACATGCATAGCCTGTTCCCTTATCCAAATATATTTATATTTTAAGACTATTACTGCCAAAGAGCAAGAGTAGTTTAGAGGAGACTCTTATCTTCCTTTACACAATGCGAAGGGAGCTGTGAAGTAAAGAAAATAATTTGCCCAGCCATTTCCACAGCCAAAAAGCTCAAATCTCATTGCTAAAAAAGTGCATTCAAGATACTGGCTTTTAACCTCAAATTTTGAAACTGAAATTGTATTGTCTCCCCTTTTGTACTAAGGTGTTATTGGCTTATAGTTTTGCAGGGGATTTGGGGGCGGTAAGTGTAAGTGACGCGTAGACAGTGCAAGGTCACCCTTTCCTCTAGGAAACTCTGGGCACCTCCAGGTCAGGCACTGCCTTTTCCCCTTCCCCTCACAGCACCAACACTGGTGAACTGAACGGGTACTGGGAACCCTACTATAGGAGAAAAACGTGATTAGCCTTCACTGTACAAGTAATTTCACAAAACCATTGGGATGAGAACTGCATGTACTGACTCTTGTATGGTCAGTTACTATATATCCCTGAAAATGACATTGTAAAGTAGACGATTTCCCCCCCAAAAGAGATGTTAGCACAGGGCAGGACTAAGTTCCTGACCAAACAACCGGCACCTAACAAATCAGATATGAGCCAGGAGAAATGGCTAGAGCACTACCTAGGATATAATTGTAAGGCACCATGGTAATTACAGAGTATAATTTTGCTCTTTATCCTGCAAAACAGACATAAAAGTATTTTACAGAGAGGCCACAATATATTACAAAAAATATATATGTAACACTTGAAGTGCAACTCCATTGCAGTAAAAAATTTTAATTTCTGCACTTAGCATGCTTATTAGACATTATATAACCACTTAACAAAATGTTTGCTAAAATTTAGATGGTGCTAACCTCTTAAAACTGTACTGGGAAAACTTTAATGGTGGTGTTTCTCTTTTCTTTTGATAAACTATCTCTTTCTCTTTTCTTTTGATAAACTATCTCTTTAAGTACACTGTTCAAAGGTAGAGTGAGTGATCATTTATCTAAAGCAGCAGCCACAGTGGCACCTAAAAGGGTGAAGACAACTTATAGTTGTCAGAGAGTGGAGAACTCTAATTCTCAAGTTCTATTTGTTTTCTTTGCTCTTGCTTCCCACCCAACAAGCTCAGCAATGTTCTTTGTGGGCTTGGGGTGGGGAACAGAGAGAAGAAACAAAAGGGTGTAAAGAGATGGATCCAGAAGCCAGGATGCGCCACACAGTCCCTGGTCCCTGGGTTCAATAGGAATTGTCTCTTTTTTCTAACAGTAATATGTCCAAATTACCCCCACCCATAAAAATGCCTTCATACATCCTGCCCAAATGGGTTAAAAGCAGCAGCAAGCACATAACACAGCACATACAATATTTCCTTATCAGTCAAAATCTAAATATAGAAACTCAATTTACCTTGTAGAATTTGATGATATCTTCCTTGGTAAGTGTCTTTAAATATGCAACTTCTGTATTGTCTGAAAAAGTAATCATACAATAATTTACTAATAATCCCATGTTAAGTAGCCCAGAATACTATATGAAATGACAATATACTTCATTTCAACAGTCCTAAGTATCCACATTTTTTAGTGATCATCTGCTCCTACAAGTGGTAAGGGAATAAATTTCAAGTAAAAAGTTAAGAGGATATCCTGGCTTTCTACATTTGAGCTGTTGGGTCTTGGCCTAGTCATTTCCACTTTTCTGGGCCTCAGTTTCCTCGTCCTGAAACTGGGACTAATAACTACTTAATGGGGCTGTAGTGAGAACAAGGAAAATGATAACTAACAGTAACACATAGCTAGGGCACATGGCAAATGCTCAGTAAAAGGTCAGTACTATATGAACAGTGAATACAACAGCTTGAAATATTACAGGTAAGGAAACAGAGGCCCAAAAAGGTAAGCTGGCCAAGACCTTCAGCTTATCAGTATCAGAATGAGAACACAACCCAACTCTCCTGACTTCCAGTGTAGCTTAGCGCACCCACTGTTCTCTCCGCTCTACAAGAGAGGTAGAAGGGAGCTGGTAAGCAGGGGGCTCTGGGGAGCATAGCTTTCCCAAATCTAAAAGCACTGAGACAGTTTTGGAGATCCCCAAAGGCAAATGTTTGAACCCCAGTGCCTCCAGGGCAGCACTGCCTCAAGAGAGTTGAATCTGCAAATTTTTCTTTTTCTTTTTTTCAGTGTTATGGAATATAAATGCCTACATATCCATGCTCAGAGCCTCAGGGCACAGTGATTGAGCACAAAAAGTGAAATAAGATTTATTATTAGTGTGTTAGTATGAGATACAGGTAGATCCAGCTCTAACTTCCGAGAAGAAAAAAAGATAAAGTTTCTAATAGGAAAGTTATACTAAATAATGGTTTTTTTAAGAAGTGCTGTACTCCCACCCCCCTCCCAAATCAGTACTAGACCATCACCTACAAAATGAATGGCCTCAATGTCCTTAAAAGTTACGTGTACATGCCATGAATGCTGGGACCCTCATTTCGCCTTACCTCTGTCAAAATTGTATTGCTGGGAGATGATTTCCCCCCAGTACTTAGCACACTCTGCAGACAGTTTCTTTGGTTTGTCTAGTCGGCGAATTGCTAACGCCTGAATGTGTTTTTGGAAGGCCTCATCTGTCATGTCCTCTATGGACTTTTCCATGGTGACTAAGAAAGCCTCCACTCTGCTTTCTAGGTAGTGAGGAGGCTTTTCCGACTGGATGATGAATCGTAAGCCCTGTATGCCGTTGGCTCGACGTGGACCACTGAAGACGATATAGCCTGAAACATAAACACCAGCCAGTCACGACCTTGGCATTTGAGACTCAGACTTTTAATCTTTCAAAAATTATGCTGTCAGAGCAAATAAAATCCACATTAGGGTTTTATATTATTAACCTCTGAAGAAAAATGAATAAAGTATCTTCAGGACAAAGCAGAAGAGCTCTCTAAAGAATAGTCAAAAAGTTAGCGATAACTCTTTCTTAATACAAAAATAAAACAAAAAGAACCCTATTGATCATTCAGCTCAACATCCCACAACTCCTAGTTATCTGCTAGTTAATCCCCTTCAATCTAGGTTAAAGTTATTTCCATCCCTGTCCACTGTCCTGGCACTGTTTCCTTCCACATCCAAGTTTCTGATGTGAACTTGCTTCTACCACTGAATTTTGTTAGGTAACCCACTCCTAGACCGACTCCATGCAGACTGGAAATCTCTAGAGATTGCGCTCATGCACTACTACCTCCCCTCAACATCTTTTCTAAACTAAACCCATGGCGTGCCTCCTTCAGCTGCTCGGCCCTGGACCACACTTCTGAAACGCTCTTCAGTACAGCCTTCAGAGTTTAAACCACACTACTATAATTCTTATTATCCCTTTACAGGTCTGCCTTCCTGATTAGATTGTGAGCTCCCTGAAGGGAAGGTCCAGCCATAACAGCTATGGCCATGGTCTAGCATCTGCCATGATGGTTGTTGAAAAACAGATTGGTACTTGGAGAGACTTGCCCAAATCCTTCTTCACTGGTTCTTCCCGGTATTACTGGAGCTTCTTTTTTCCCCTCCTTAATCAAACCTGCTAAGATCTCCAAGACTTTAAATAGTGCTTAAATCTCTGCCTGAAACATTTCCTCAACAAACACTTACTGAGTAACTTCTATGTGTCCCAACATGAGTAAGAGAAAAAACCTGCACCCTCAGAGAACCCAGTTAGTGAGCCTAAGCTTCCCTGGATGGCCTGCTTCCCGGCCTGCCACCCGTAACAGCCTGCCCTTAGCATCCTCTCTCCTCCACACACATGTCCTCTTTATTGACATGTATGTAATGTAGACACAGTGTCATCTCAAGAACTGCGTTTGTGTCTATAAGCTATTAATTGTTTATCTTTTAAAAGTAGATCCTCCATAAACAGGTTTCACAAGTCTTTCTGAATAGAGCGCGCCTGAAGCAACACAAATTTTTCTGAGGACAACGGTTGCTCCTCAAGGTCTAGGACACCCGCCGCCCCACGCCTCTCACCCAGCTGCTCCTTGGTGCGCAGGGTGTTGAAGCAGGGCTCGGAGATGATCTGACAGAAGAGCTCCAGGAACATGTTCTCCGAGGTGCTCTGCATGTCTGTCTGGTAGTAGATCTCGATGCCACAGTTATTGTGAACTTCATTCCTCTGCTGGTAAACAAACCACCCTTCTAGAAGAGAATAACACATTCAAATACTTATTTAGGGCTCAGGAAGGTTAGTGTTTTGTTTGAAAAGTTGTTCAATTTGATGGGTGTTTTTTGGCAATTCCAAATTGCAATTAATTTATTAGAATGTGAAATTCAACTTACCCCTGGGAATCCTATTACAGTGATTTGTATGTGGTGGGCCCCCATTAAACATGCACTGAATTTAAAAAGCAAAGAACTTATGAAAGACTAAATATTTTATGACTAAGTATTAATGCTAAATTAAGATCCATAGTTAATAAAACGGACAATGTAAATTAGAACTAGCTAATACATGTAAAAACCTCAATAGAAATAACACCTATGTTTCCATAACAAAAAATGTTAATTACTAGTTGTGCCTTTATTATCTTGAGTTTCTATTTAACTTTCTATTCCCAATACTGCTTACTCACACCCACACTAACGGTCATTTTCCAGATTTACACCAATGTGTACAATGCCTAACATCTCACTTTAAAGAGGAGAAAACTGAGACCCTGAGAAGGGGGCAACATGTCCAAGTCCTTTAGCTAGGACTAAAACTCAGGTACACTGACCAAACATTTCATCAAAATTATGAATAGACAATTATGCTTTATGATCTGATAACTTTATTTCAAGAGCAATAAATGTGAAGAAGCAAATATACAGTGCTTAGTAGGCAGTACTGTATGACTCACAAACGTAAGATTTCTCAGACACAGTAGTAATGACAGGCTTGCTCGCTCTTCTAGAAGCTCAATTAGGCACCAGCAGTAAAGGGCGGCAGAGCAGCCTGGACTCGCACTGCACCTATTTCCCTTTCCTGACCAGGTCCCACTCGGACTAACCGTCAGACTTATCCCGGCAGCACTAAGTTTCCTCTTATCAGAAGAGGACGGAGAACACAGGCTGTAATCCACCTTCCCACACACACGGCCAGCCTTTTCATGCTCATCCCCCAATGTCTCCTTCTTCACAATGCCTGAATTTTTTCTTTTTAAACTGTTAGTACTGTCCCATGGAGAGTTAGTGAAGGACTACTTAAGATATTCATTACTGACCAGCTGGCTAAATTAGAATGTTTCCTAACACCTAGCATTTTGAGAAGGGGATATGAACTGAGTAATTTGTGAGAATGGGGAAATCTGTGAGGGCATTTGAGAGACAAAAGAGATAGTCCTAGGAGAAGCTAGAGAAGGCAGGAGGTGTAATACAAAGAGGTGTGAAAGGTAGGTTTCCCTTTGAATTTTGTTTCTAGGCCTGCATCACTTTGCAGTGACTGAGGAACAAGGTAGCATTAGTCTGAGATGAACCATCACCAGGTCTGTGAGGACTGGTCATGCAGAACTGCAGAGCTGTACTGAAGGTATCCTTGCACATTCAACCATGACATCCTGAGGCGATACTATGTTCAAGCTGCTTTCGTAGCTGCTCAAATGAGGCAGGCACAGACCCTGGTCTTAAGAAACGTATAAGCTAACAAAGGACATGGAGATGCACTTCAATCCCAACGCAAGACAAGGCTGAGCAGCTTCAATAAGGAAAGGTTCAGGAAGCCTGTGCTGGGAGGTCGAGGAAGTGATCACTCTAGCTGGGAGCTTTACAAAAAGTTTGGTGGGCTAGGGGGCTTATCACATGTGTTTGGAAGGATGAATAGGGTGTAGACATATGTCTATGAGGAAAAGGAGGGGTGGGTGAGGGAGAAAGCAACATTTCAGGAGGATAAAATAGCTGGGGAAAAAGACACAGACCATACATGCCTGGGGAACAGCCAATAATCGAGTCTGGCTAAAAAAAAACCAATGCTTTTCATTCCTGGTCTAATAATGCCCCACTAGACAATTTTGAACAATATTGAAAATAATGCTTAATGAGTTTTTATATCAACAGAAACCATTATTAATGCAAAAGTAATTTGACATTGGAACTCTGATATATTAATTATTATCCGTTATGTTAAAATTCCTCATAAAATATCCATGAAATAATACATGTTGTTATCTGGACCTATAGCTTTCCTAAAACTATTTCTGCCAAAGACCCCTATGGACTTCCCATTAGATATTATAATTCTAGTTTTTATAAATTTTATTTCATGATTCATGATCAACATTTCTTTAGCTTTGTGATATGTTTACTTCCTAACTCCTCTATACTCAATTACCCATCAATTCCAGTATCATTCTCTTCAAAATAATGGCCTACCTCCAATTTCATCTCTTTGGTCCACTTACTGAGAATTTTGTGACATAATTACCTATCATTAATCATACCTCTATAAATAGTAGAGGATCCTGTAGTTCTTTACCATAAAACAACACATTATCATCCAAATGAATTTGGTCTACCTGTAATTACCCACAATATTATGTCAAAGTTATCCATCACCAAAGTTATAACATTTCAACTTACTGTCAGGGAGCTGAACTTCTCTGTACCGAACCAGCTGACTTGGAAGGAGAGGTTTTGTATGAGCATGTTCAATAAGAGTGTCCTCAACCATCTGCATAATTCCTAATGCAGCCTGTGGAAAAGACAGGTCTCAGTAATTACAAGAACACAAATATATCTTGTCTGTGAAAATAAATATAGTATATTGAATGATAGCCCATGCAATATGAAAATATGCCTGTGAAATAAACCAGCTTACTTTACCATAAAAAATGGGTTTTTAAATCTTAAATACATTTGATCCTACTCAAATGGGTGAAAATTGAATTTTTCAATTTGCAATAGCCACTATGGTAGTAGTGAAGAGAAACAGAGATCCAGACCATCTTGACGCTGGGAAAGGCATTGCTAAAGCTGGAGAGGTACTGGTGATGGAAAGCTAGTCACCCCAAGTGAATGACAGCTGGGGTTACTGCAAAGCAAAGGAGCTGGGCATAAGGTTTTATTTTTTAATAAAACCGACCTTGCTAAGAACCCTGCCTCTGCCACTGGGCGTACTGTTTTGGAGACAGTATATAGCAGAGTGGTAGAGAGGGTGGGCTCTTGAGACAGACTGCCATAGGAATTCTGGAGTGCTAAACTTGGCCTTTACTATTTAATTTAATCCTAAAACTATAATTTTACAAATAGGAAAACTGAGCACAGACAGGTTAAGATCTTTTCAGAAGACTGCATATCTAATATGTGACACAGTTAGGATTCGAATCCAGGCTGTTTGGTTCCACACCATGTGCACCTAGTCATTACACCAGGGGTGGGAAACCTTTTTCTACTAACGGCTATTTGGATATTTCTAACATCCTTCATGGACCATAGAAAATTATCAACTTAAAAATTAGCCTGCTATATTTGGTCAAACATTTAATTAACTCATCCCTATGCCTTGGCAGAGCCAGACCAAATGATTTTGTGGGCCTTATGCAGCCCACAGGCCAGACGTTCCCCACTCCTGCTCTACATAGTCCTGCTGTCCTACACAGAATGAGGATAATTTTCCCCACTTCCTTCTGTGATTGCACAAGGCAGGCAACAGCAGAGCACAGCCATGACAGTGGGTCCACAGTTAACAATAATCTTCCATCATTCTGCTCCCCCATGCCTCCATAGAGCAGAGAGGGTTGAGTGAACACTGATGTGCTATTATAATCACACTGTGGTGGTGAACAGCTTTAGACAGACGAGGGTAAAGAACCTCTTGCACTGATTCATGAAAGATTGCTAAAACTTTAACCACCCACCTGCTTTGTTATGTTTCCATGGAGAAGGGCTTCAATGTGCAGCCGTGACAGGAGCTGAGGTATAAAGGCCTTAAGGCGAGGAAGGGTGACATCTGTAAAGGTGTAAGAAATACAGACTCTACTTACGAGGTGTTTTTAAAAAAAAAAGTCAACTCGAGACTTATACAAGAGTTCAGAATTCAAAAATAGTAGAGAGAGTTCCTGTATGCCCTTCACCCAGTTTTTCCTAATGTTAACAGTTTTCATAACCACGGTACAATGTCAAAACTAAGAAAATAACACTAGCACAATACTATTAACTAAAATATAGACTTTATTTGGATTTCCATTTTTCCACTAATCTCTCTTTTCTGTTCCAGGATGTAACCTGCAACCCCACCTCGCATTTAGTTGTCATGTGTCCTTATTTCCTCCCACCTGTGACAGTTCCTTGGTCTTTCCTTGTCTTTAATGATCTTAATACTTATGAAGAGCATTGTTCAGTTATTTTATAGAATGACCTTTATCTGGGTTTGGCTAGTGTCTTCTCATGATTAAATTGAGCTTATGTCTTACTAGGAAGAATACCACAGAGGTACCATGCCTTTCTCAGAGCACCACGCCAGGGGTTCACAGTGTTGTGCGCTGTAGTATTGGTGACGTTAACACTGATCACTTGGTTGGGGTGGTGTCTGCCAGATGTCACTGCTGTGAGTGCACTATTTTATTCTTTTGGTTGTAACTGAGTAACTCATGTAGGCTCTACAGGCAACGAGGAAAAGCCATCTGCTCATCAACGCTTACTTTTCTCATTGTAATTAATAAATAATTTATTTTGGGGAAATACTTTGAAACTATACAAATATCCTGTTTTTCCTAAACTTTTACCTACTAATTTTAGCATCCATTGGTGTATACTGCCTGCATCAATTATTATTTTGGCATTCTAATAGTGAGTTTTCTACTCTCCACTTTCCTTCTACATGTACTGACTTAGTTCTTCAATAAGTAAGAGTTGTTCCTTTTCCATTAGGACCATATTAGTAATTGCTACAGTGGATGCTAAAATTAGTGACTGAAATTTAAAGAGAGACATGGAAAAGGAATTAACAAGTGCTTACTATTGGCTGGCATCTTATAGATGTTATAAACTGTAAAGTGTGTGCTATTATCCCCATTTTAAATATGAGAAAATTGAAGTTTAGAAAATATACGTTTCTTGACCAAAATCATCAAGTTATTAAGTTGCAGAGCTGGCATCTGATCCTTGGTCTAATTCCAAAGTGCACACTTGTCCTTCTCCATTGCACTGCCGAAGGACCCTTCACTCCCTTAGCACTCTCTGCAGGCCTACTCCTTTGCCTCTACTGAAATGATCTGTTTACATTCATGCTTTGCCACTAGACTGGAGCTCCCCAATCAAAGAAACCCCATATAAATGATCTTTTTATTTTTAATCTCAAGCAACTGGAGTCCAGGACCTGGTGCATCGCAGGTAGTCGGTAAATACTGTTGGACCACAATGAACTCAGGTTCTTGCTATCCCATCACCTGAATAGCTGACTGACTTAAGAGTCAGAGGGAGCCAGCCTCTCACACTCTCACATGAGCTGTCTCCAGACTAAGCCACATTGGCATTACTGGATTATTGTGTGTGTGTGTGTGTGTGTGTATAATCAGAACAGAATGGTTGCTCATTAAAGAATTTCAACTAAAAAAGTGCTGACTTTCTCTTTATAAAATATAATTTAGGAAGGTTTCACATGCTTATGAGATACTAGTACGTAAGAGCTTATTCTGCTTAAGATTCACATAACATCTGACCCAGAAACTAAAAAACTTCTGCTTTTTGATCATTCTGAATGCAGGTTCAGTTTCTTGAAAAATGTATTTAAAATCAATTATGTGGTTATTGTTGTTGTTTTAAAGGATCTCATTGTTTTGTTTTTTTATCATATTTTTATTGATTTCACAGAGGAAGGGAGAGGGAGACAGAAACATCAATGATGAGAGAGAATCACCTATCAGCTGACCCCTGCACACTCCCCACAACCCAGGTATGTGCCCCCAACTGGAATCGAACCTGGGACCCTTCAGTTTGCAGGCTGGACTCTATCTACTAAGCCAAACCGGCTAGGGCTGGTGGTTGTTTTTTAAAAAGGCAAAATTCTTGCTATTAACTGGATGTAACTATTTTTTGGGGGGGAAAAAGGCATATTAACTATCCAGATTAAAAATGTACCTGTTTCAACAATAAAAAATATATAAATATAAAAATAATGTATCTACCCAGCCGGTGTGGCTCAGTGCTTGAGCGTCGACTTATGAACCAGGTCAGGGCACATGCCTGGGTTGTGGGCTTGATCACAGTGTGGGGCATGCAGGAGACAGCTGATCAATGATACTCTCTCATCATTGATGTTTCTGTCTCTTTCTCCCTCTCCCTTCCTCTTGGAAATCAATAAAATATATTTTTTAAAAAATAATGTATCTGTTCTAGTTAATGAATTTTATAATCTATATACACCTACCAATGCCTGAGACAACCAATAAAATAATGATTTTTCAATACTCCGTGCTCTTAATTTGTCACTGAAGACATTTAAAGCACAGTGTTACATAAGAAGGACTTAATATAAAAGATCATTAAAAATTCAATAGCATCCTTTTTCCTTATGGCTGAGCATGTAGGAAGAAAGATTAATTGGTAAAGTAACACCAAGAAATGAAAAAGATAAAAATAATAAAGGGTGATGTCAGTCTTCATTCTTTTCAATGAAGGACCCCTAAAAGTAATTTCATTTCATTCATTAAGCATTCATTAGACACACATAGAGCATATAACATTAGATGAGATACTAAATAACGAGGATAAAAGGCAGGCATAATTACTGCCCTCAAAGAATTTACAACTTTCAAGCAAACCTATGAAAACTAGAATTAACCCTTTGCACTCCGAACCATTCTGGACATTGGCTACCAGCTACTCGACGCTACTTTGCGGCGGAAACGTGCATTTACAGACCCTCGTATTATTTAGTATAATTTTGGAACCAAGTAACGTATTATAATGATATTGGACTTATATGAATTGGGTGACATCGAGGAATGTATATTTGCAAAAAAAACAATATTTTATTGTTTATAATTTTGTACAGTATGATAAGTTTTGTAACACTCCCCAATATGCATTGCAGGCTGATTAGTGCATGTTTGACAGTAATAAGTGGTTTGACGCCTGCCACCAGGTGTTTTCCTGTTAGAACACACAATGCAGTCCCGTTTTCTTTGTCCCACATCGGGAATATGTAGTTTATTGTTTAATCCGACACAAAACCCGCTGACATTTCTTGTATATATCTTAGTAATTTTACGATATTTTGATTTAATTTCTTGTGCCATTTCAAGATAAAACTTCAGGGAAACATGCATGTCTCAAAAAGTTGCGTTGAAATAACTCAATTCCCTGTAATCACTAATAAACTGCAATGTCCCCTGAGAGGGGACAGCGGAGTGCAAAGGGTTAAAATTTTAGAAAAAAAAAAAGATGACCCTTCAGTCTTTCTACAGTTCCTAGTTTTTAACTGAACTAAACTGATCGACAGATGCCTGAGTACTCCCTACAGGGTAAGACTTTCAAACCTAGTAGCCCTTTTCTCCTTTTCTGAAAACAGCATTAATAAGGTAAGTGCTTTGGTCAAAATATCTTGTCATCTGCAGAAATCTATGAACAGTTCTAATTAACTGCTGTTGGTCCAGGTTGAAAATAGCAAATGTGGGTAAACTGCCTGAATACCAAAGCCACTTCAACGGTCACCACTGTTTTCATAAAAACGTATGCAAATCTGGGTTTAAGAGCACTCTAAGTTATTAGAAAGCATAAACACTAGATGTCAGGATACAATAAAATTATTTTAGGAAAAAATGAAGAAAGTATTATGCTATAAGTAGAAACAGAGTCTCACCATCCAGGGCTTCTTTTAATTCATCTTTTGTCCAGGCCACCTCGGTCATCAGGAGGCGGAGGTAGTACATGGCGTGCTGGTGAGGCTGTTCAGCTCGGAAATTGTTAAGAGATCGCATATACTAGTGAAAGAATACATGGGTTCATTAATTTTATAAGTACTTTAAAAATCACTTCATGGGCAAAAAAAACAATGAATTATAAAAATAAGTTCAGAAAACTTACTGCCTCTTTGATAATTTCAAATCTTTTTTCATCAATCTCAAAGGTAGCCATTTTCTCAATAATCTTCTTTAGCAAAATTGGCTGCTTATCATTGTAACCTTTCACCGAGAGCTAGAGAAAGAGTTCAGGGTTTTAAAAGTCTAAAAATATCATAAAATATCTTAAGCTTGATTTGTAAACATTCAGGAAATCTCCAAACCAAGTACTTTAACATAAAAGTGAAACAAAAAACTCAATTAATTTAACTTCCCATAAATATAGTTTAACACTTAGGAAGATAACATTAATTATTGGTATTTACTAATAACTAAAAGCATGATTTTGCTTTTCTTAGACAAAACCAACAGTAGGAAAACTCATCTGATGCCCAACTGTGGCAGCACACACCATATCATCAAAATTCAAGTTCTCATAAAGTCTAAATTAATTATAGAGTGTATTTCAAGTTTAATCTTCAAAAAATTTCTAAGGAATGGTTGGCTTAAGGTTTTTACAGGTGTGGTAAGAAAAATCATAGGGGAGTATTATCTACAAACTACTGGATCTGTCCCCATCTTGTTTATATTTAAATATTTTAAAAAACCTATCTGGAGAAATCAGGCAGTTCCCAATTTTTTATTTGTGGCATTTTGGCACTTTTCTCATATGTCTCACCACTTGCTTGCTGGATGAGTTCTGCTGATCTGTCAAAAGCTAATGGCAAAACAGATGTGTAGTGAGGATACACTGGATTTTTGCCTTGGGACAATTTAAGCATAACATTTTGAAAAGTGAGGGATGCCTATTATCATATTTCCTATTATATTTGCACAAGGTGGCACCTACTGCAGTAGAGGTTATCTACCTTATGAAAAATGATAGACAAGAACCTCAGCAGAAGTGAAGGTTTGTGGCCATGGAAAGCACATCACATGCTGTGGGAACTAGACTGACAATTAGCCGAAAGCCCATTTTGTCACAAACAACAAATTTTTTATATGAATGGTAATGTGCTACTAAAACTCAATAGTGAAAAGTAAACAATGGATTATTACTTTTCTATTTGGAGTTTATTTTGATCTCTGACCTTCAAATTTCCCTGGACTCTGAGAATGGTTACATTGTATACATTCTTATACATTAAACAAAAGCTACCAGAAAATTTACTTGTGTGAAGAAAAAAAGTTGCTGCAAAATAAACAAAAATTTAAAACCCTAAAATCTTTTGTATAAGAATTTATAAAGAGAAGTACACAGCACATGCTCTCATTTTAGTTGTTATTAAAACATATATTTTCAAGAAAAGTGAAGATGAATGTGTGCCATAAAGGGATGTTAATTTGGAAATGAGATATAAGTTTGGAAATATATCACAGTGTCAAGAAAGGATCTAGTTATTTCTTAGAGTTCATTTAACAATGATTATTTTGAAACACACTTAAAAATAGTTAATGAAGCATGCTACAAAAAAGTGAAATGAAAATGCCACAAGTATCTAAACACAGGGATTTTTACTATTGTCAGCAGAAATAAAGGATGCTTATATATAAATAAAATTCAAGCACCACAACAATAGCTATGGACATCTTGCACTTAGAGATGTTAATATACTCAAACACATGAAAAGAACAACATGCTTTCAGAGTTAATATGTTAAGAATTTGAAGCAGAGGAACGTGCAAGTGAATGTAGCACATATACATGTTCACAAGATGCACTAAACTCTACTAAATCATTCATTAGTGTAGCTAATACTAATCTGAGTTCTTCAATCATTAAAAGGGTGCAAGAAAAAAACCATCAATCTTCTTGTTTAAAAATGCGGAAGTTAATAGTTTTCTCACGCTCAACACAATGCTTAAATGCTGTGGTGCCTTTTCTTTGGTTTTCATTTTACTTACAAGTATTGCATTCATTCCTGATGCAATGCCATAGCTCAAACCTGAGAGGCGTGCTGCATATGTATACTCTTTTAAATCATCCTTCAATAACCTGATAAACAGGTATGTCATGTTGCAATGGAGAGGATCAGCATAAATGTAGCGACTAACAAAAAGAAAAACAAAAGAAATGCTTTGATACCTCAAGCAGTGACATGGTAATGAAGAAACATGACCGAAGAGTATGGATATGCAGCCTCATGATCTGAATGGCTAGGGAAATAGTACAGGCCAACCTTATGTTTTACAATGGCAGCAAGACGTCATTCTCTGTTGTCAAAGACCAAGACTTCAGATATAGAATGGGTAAGATCTAAACCTAAATCAGGGTCCAATTTTGTTTGAGGAGAAAAATATGACAATCTGATGAAAGATGTTAAAAGAAAAAAAAGAAATCAAGGAAAATTGGCATAATATGAATGGTAAATTGCTGAATACTTAAAATAAGAGCTAACTTAAAAATTAAATGAGAAAATATGATTAGCCATAAAGATTAAAAAAGAAATTAAACTCATACCCTCAATCAAAAATGCTTCCATCAAATCAATGCAAAAAAAATGTTGATGAGTGGAAGGCTCTAAGACGTGGGTACTTACATACATCCCATAGATGGTATTTTGGAGGTCATAGCTCAAGCCTGCTAGCTCTGCTGCATATGCATACTCGTTGAGTGAGTCTTTGAGGAGCTCAAGGTACAAATAGGCCATGTTACAGTGCAAGGGGTCCACATAAGCAAATGGGCTGGAAGAAAATGTTGACAGTAAAATAGCTGATTTATTACTTCCCAATGTGACATGTGGCCTTTCGAGATGGATCAAGAAACTGAATACCAATTCATATACTTTCCTGAAGACAGGGTTTGAACTCTTGAGTCTGTCTCTTCTTCTCATGAGGAAAAACATAAAGTCTAAAAAAGAAGTATGAAACATGCCATGTGTGCTGGTGGAGGCGAAGAGGGAGAGGAACTGCTTACTCCAGATGGTGTGACAGAACTGACAAGTTAGAAGGAGCTGAACCAGCCAAAAACTACGCTCTGGCTAATAGGAGGTATGGTTGAAAGATCCGATTCAGCACTGGCATGTTCCTTTCTCCTTCTAAAAGCAAGCCATACCTTGGTGGAGAGGACTGTAAGATTGAGAAGTTTGTGTACAATTATACAAACTTAAAAGAGAAAAACTATGCTCCGACTGGCGTGGCTCAGTGGATTGAGTGTCATCCCATGCACCAAGAGGTCACAGTTCAATTCCCAGTCAGGGCATATGCCCAGGGTTTGGGGCTTAATCCCTAGTAGGGGGCATGCAGGTGGCAACAGATCAATGTTTTTCTCTCTCCCCCTCTCCCTTTAAAATCAATAAAAACATCTTCTTTAAAAAAAGAGAGAAAAATTGAGATCTGTGAAAATGTTCGCTTATCTCTGAGTTTCCCACAAACCAAAAAAGCTAGAGTAAAATAATTAATGAGTTCTACCATATAACTGCAGCCAGAACTAGAAGAAAAAAACTAAAATAGAAAAATATATAAATAAGTAAGAGCAACAAAAGAAATAATGATAGAGCATGTAAGATCACCTATTTTAAAACTTCGTTTCCCAATTAAGAAACATAATTTTCTTCATGTCATCTGGGCTGGTAAGCAGCAGAGTTAGGATTCAAATTTAAGTCAAATGACTTATGCATTTGACTATATGACACTGCTTACCTTTAAGAGAAGTAACAGATTCCTTCATTGAACACATTTATTACATGCTTACTATAATGCTAGGCTCTTCTCTAGCTACTGGGAAGAAAGAAGGAAAAAATCAGGCAAAGTCCCTGACCTCAGAGTTCACAGTCCAGTTGAAGGAGACATATAATAAATTTAAATATGATACACATCAGGTGGTGATGGTGCTATGGAGGAAAATTAAACAGGGGGAGGGGAACAGGAGTGACGGATGGTGGAGGTGGGACAAGAAGATTGCTAAGATGGTTATAAGGTGCCATCTTGGTCCAGACCTGAAGCAAGGAAAGGAGCAAGCCCTGGGCATATCTGGGTAAAGTGGAGAACTTTCAGGCTGAGAAAACAGCTAGTGCAAAGGACCTGAGGCAGGTGCCCGCCTGGCTTATTTGGCAACAAATTGAAAGTTTCACTTTCTCTCCAGCACACTAAATATCACCAATGCACTGATAGCAAAGCCAACACTTTTATCAAAACCTGATAATGAAGCAAAAACAGGGGCACAACGCTTAGTCACTTAGAGAATTAAAATCAAAGGTAAAACTCCAGTTCGACAAACATCCTCCATCTGGAAAATCTAAGTAAATACTGTGTCACTGAATTTTTTAAAGTGTTATTCATGACCAATTTCAGGCAAACAGCAGCTCAGAAACTTAAGGCACAATTCACAAAAGCCAAGTCATCAAAATAAAAGAGAGTCCATGAAAGGGTTCAGCTCCCTAGGCACCTATGCACCTTTCTTAGGTGGAAGTGAAAAGCTAGAAAAAGCCAAGTCTAGGAGCTCAAAGCCCTATGGCCAAGCTCAGAATGCCACTCCAGCAAGTGTCCTCAAGGCTGTGTCTATAGCAGCTGTGTTGGTCAACTGGAGAGGGTACTAAACTAACTTTTAAAAGAGAACATGATAAAAATAAAATACAAAAAAAAAAGAGAGAACATGATTCAACTGAAATGCTTAAATTCTGATTCATTTCTCAATTTGAAAAACATTATTTTGTAATCAGATGATATATGCTTAAATATGGATCATAGTTTTAAAACCTATAACTAAGTATGCATAATATAATCTTATTTCTGAAAAGATTAAAAAGATATATACACACAGAAAATTCCTACCAGAATGTACAAGAAACCTAACTGTGCTTACTTCTAGGGAGACCAGAACACAGAGGACTGATAGGAAGCAGACATTTTTAATTCTAAAAATTGCTGCGTAGTTTAGAATATGCAAAAAAATATCAAATGGTCTCTCAAAAGGTATTCTGAAGCCAAATGGGAAAGTACAGGCATACATCATTTTTATTGCGCTTCACAGATGTTGAGTTTTTTACAAAAAGGTAAGATACTCCTCCACCAGCAAAAAGACTACAACTTCTTCTATTATGATACTTGTTTTATTGTGATGGTCTGGAACCCAACCCGCAATGCAATACCTCCAAGGTATGCTTCTAACCAAGCCAGGAATAGAGAAAGCAATATCTGAGGGTTCCAGACAATTAATGGGCTGGATGAGACGCCAGATCATTTAGTAACTATTATCTCTTCTTCTGGGAAAGTTCCAGGAATACAAAACCAAATCCACCCCAAATTATTTAATCTTTCTTTAATGAAACTTCTGGGTGAGTCTATAAGTCTCCCCAGATTCCGAAGTCCTAAAGGTTAGGAAGGTCCTGCTAATAACTAACACAGATCATTTCCGTTAAAGGGTGTATTCATCAATGGAAAGGAAGAGTTAACAACCTTGGCTCTTCCACTGTGCCACAGCAGCCTTCTCTTGTCTAGGCTAAGTAACCCTAATTCCTTTTATTTTTAGACACGGGTCGTCAAGGAACCAAAAAAAAAAAAAACTTTTAGAAAGTAATTGTTGATTTTTTAGAAGAAGTTTTATAGCTAGATTCATCTTACATACCTGAAAAATTCAAAGTTGAGACAAGCCTTCGGCAAGAAAAACTTATCATCTTGTTTGAACCAGAGTTTGCTCATAGCTGTATCCTGTGATGGAGAAAAAAAAATTTGTTATGGAAATATGGGCACATTTGGCAAAAATGTTCAATCAAATCACCCTTCAAGAAAGGAGGACAAAGGCAATAATAGTTGAGAGTTCTGTTCTGCAGAGGCTGCTGTCGCCTGGCCTTGAAGTGTACTCAGAGGGTCAGCAGGAGGGAAGTGAAGAGAGAGGACTGGCAATTCCAGCAACAGAGAGAAATCACCCTTTTATCTCCCTGGTTTAACAAGATGAGGACACAGCAGAGGAAGAGTCAGATTGGAGAAGCCAATAATTACTGCCCTGTCCCTGTCTTTCCGGACCCTGGGAGACAGAAGGAGTCCTGAGGAGTGTGGGGCAGCCAGCCTCCAAGGTGGGCCAACGGACCCCTGCCTACTGAGAACCAGAGTTGTCAGTCTGACCAACAGAATACAACAGAATTCTGATCACTCACTTTCCCTCTTGGATCGCTCACTTTGGGGGAAACCAGGTGCTGTATCAAGCAACTTTATGGAGACGCCCATGTGGTGAAGAATGAAGATCTGCCAAAACCCACTGAACCTCAGCTCTGGTTGAATCCTGCAGCTCCAGCTGAGTCTTCAGGTGGCTGAAACCCCAGACAACAGCTTGACTATGACCTAGTGAGAGACCCGGAGCCAGAACTACCCAGTTAAGCCACTTTCAGATTCCTGACCCCCAGAAACTGCGAGACATAATTTAAGTATTTGTGATTTTAAGCTGATAAACTTTGGAGTAATTTGTTATCCAGCAATGAATAACACGACCAGGGATGAACAAATAAGCCACTATTTTGACTGTCTACTTCATTCATGCTATATTAAAAATAGCCTTAGATGTTCACTTGAAACTCTGACAAGAGATATAAATGGTTTAATGTTCTCCTTGGTTTGCTCTGAAAAGGCCTATTAAAAAAAACAAAACTTGAGAGGTAAATAGGTTTTGCCTTTCAATAACCTAACCTATAACTCATTAAAATGTCATTTTAAAAGAAAAATGGTTGTCTTAACAATAATGTAATTGCTTCAGCTAAATTAAATTTCATATTCCTAAACACTGATTCTTATATCGCTGAGTTAATAGAATGTTAGGTCATTTTAAGAAAATAAAAAGAGAGAAGTAAAAGGAAGATTTATATCTAGGGTGGTGAGTTTAGAAAAAGTTAGTTTTACAGTTTAGAAAAGAGAATATGCTGTAATAATTTGATCCTTTTTCTATACAATTTTTACCCAAGGTGTGAATTATTAACATGAACATTCTGAAAACAAAAAGAAAACCCACGGCTCAAACACCCTTCCCACTTGGCTCCATGAACTTCATACACCACTCAGTCAGAAAGAGAGCTGCTTTCAAAGGCAGGATCCGCTCTCTTCCAGGCTTAGAGATTCTTCCTGGCCTCTACCTTTCATGATGCAGGTAAACCTACTTCCTCGTTGGATCTTCAGTGATTTTGAAAAAGAAGCCACTATCTTTCAATAGCCTGTGGTTAAGTCCAGACTTACCACTTTTTTTTTTCTGTAAAGATGACAATTCTCCAGACTCGATGTTATTTAGTTTTGTTTGTTTGCTTTAACATTTCTGGCCTTTTATGTTTCTTGTATTATTCTCTCTGTAACTTTTCTGTCACCTCTTTGGATGTAAGCCCTCAAAATCAACACAGTACCAAATGCAAGAAATCATCTCTCTAGGCCCTCCTATGGAACAGGTCTGTCCCCTGAATTTAAAATCATTGAGTCAAACATGTTACCTTAATAAGAGAAGGGTATGGTGTTGCTTCTTTTTCTAATGATAAAATCTCAAAATTCGTAGGAATAAATTCATTCTTCGTTGGAAGTTTAAATTTCCCATTCAAGTCAGCATTTTGCCATTTCTGGATGAATAATGAAAGACACAAGCATTTAAAACAGTCATTCTGCTTATTAATATCCAGGCAAATATTAAGGGAATAAATGTCAGACAGCATTCTTTTCCATCATAAAGAGGCTACTCCCAAGATCTACTGATGACTTTTTATGAAATTTGAGTTGGATTTGCTGGTACTAATCAATGTTTTTTTTGTTTTTGTTTTAAATATATTTTATTGATTTTTTACAGAGAGGAAGGGAGAGAGATAGAGAGCTAGAAACATCGATGAGAGAGAAACATCGATTAGCTGCCTCCTGCACACCCCCTATTGGGGATGTGCCTGCAACCAAGGTACATGCCCTTGACCAGAATCGAACCTGGGACCCTTCAGTCCGCAGGCCAATGCTCTATCCACTGAGCCAAACCTTGGTTAGGGTATCCACTGAGCCAAACTGGTTAGGGTTAATCAAGGTTTTATACTTATTTATCTTTCCTCTTTACACATTTCCAAAATGACCAAATAAGGGTAAGGAATAATCTGAGACCGAGGAACACTGAGAGGTTAATTCAGGGGTGGGGAACCTTTTTTCTGCCAAAGGCCATTTGGATATTTATAATGTCATTCTCAAGCCATACAAAATTATCAACTTAAAAATTAGCCTGCTACATTGGCCAAACATTTAATTAGCTCACTCCTAATGCCTTGGCAGGGCCAGACTGAATGATTTCACGGGCCTCATACAGCCCTTGGGCTGGACGTTCCCCACCCCTGGGCTAATTGGTCCACATAAAGACCACGTTTGTTTCAGCTCTTTAAAGAATGAAAAATAATCTGTACAGCGTATTTCCAACTGCTAGGTAACAGGCTACTAATATAAGAGTTAAAGTTTGAGCTACACTAAGCTACTTGCATGTATAGCCTGAAAGCTAAGGCTAAACGGGCCGGGCTTGTTCACTTCAGTCCCTCTTAATACCAGGCCCACACCTCTCCCAGAGGACCAAGTGAACTTTGAAGTGAAGCAGTAATTCAAGCTCAAGGTTAAGGACACAGTTGAGACTTAAGTCTGGATTGTTGTGGGACAGGGCTGACACAACCTGTAGCTTGGATCTGTTACATGAGCTAGGGCCAAAAGCTAAGTGGGACAGATCACAGGTCACTGATTGCTGAACTCTAATTTATAAGACTTTTCATATTTAAAAAGGCAAACCACCTGCCAATAATTTGGGTTCGACAACTTTGTCTCCAGATGATGTAGCACAGCCTTGCCGCTTTTGCAATTCTATTTTGGTCCCTGCATTTGTGTCTTTTGGCACTGGAATAGTGAAGATGCTGGCTGTATTATTTATAAGTAGCAACTTAAGTCTCCAGAGGGCTGAATGATAGGAACTTGTAAACACTTAGCAAGCAATTTTACCACTAAAATTTGTATGTTTTTTAAAAATTCCCATGCAGGGCAGATTGTCATGGTCAGAATTCGGTGAAGAGGGGTTCTCTCTTGTTTTAGGATAGTTCAGACCCAGCACTATTTCAAAGGATATCTGCTTTCCTCACAATTTAGCGAGATGGGGCTCCGGTGACCTCCTTCTGTGCTGTGAATATGTCAGAAGTTACCTGTAACCATTTTCTTTCTTAAACTATTTCTCTTTTTTCTGTATCGTCATTACACTGGTACATTTAAGAAATGTCCAATACCTGAGTTTAACTGGAATCTAATCAGAGCAAGGCTATCTGATGTCTTCCCATGAATAAAGGACACAATCTCAAAGCTACACAGCCAATGAGAACTAAAAAAGAAAAAGTATTAGAGAAGGAGATGGGCCTCACAAAAGAATCTTGACTACTGATGAATGGGGTAACGTACTACCTAAACATACATGTTTCAAAACCCATTTTAATTCCCCTCTGCTGACACGAAGAGCAATGATGCACTATGAAGCATAAAATGCAGCACCTGCCCTAACTGGTTTGGCTCAGTGGATAGAGCGTCCGCCTGCGGACTGAAGGGTCCCAAGTTTGATTCCGGTCAAGGGCATGTACATTGGTTGCAGGCACATCCCCAGTGGGAGGTGTGTAGGAGGCAGCTGATCGATGTTTCTCTCTCATCGATGTTTCTAACTTTCTATCCCTCTCCCTTCCTCTCTGTAAAAAATCAATAAAATATATATATATATATATTTTTAAATATATTTTATTGATTTTTTACAGAGAGGAAGGGAGAGAGATAGAGTTAGAAACATCGATATATTATATAAAAATATATATATAAAAATATATATATCTTTTATTAAAATATATATATAAAAATATATATATATTTTATTGATTTTTTACAGAGAGGAAGGGAGAGAGATAGAGAGTTAGAAACATCGATGAGAGAGAAACATCGATCAGCTGCCTCCTGCACATCTCCCACTGTGGATGTGCCCGCAACCCAGGCACGTGCCCCCGACCGGAATCGAACCCGGGACCCTTCAGTCCGCAGGCCGACGCTCCATCCACTGAGCCAAACCGGTTTCGGCAATAAAATATATTTTTAAAAAAATGCAGCACCTGTCAAGTGAAGACAGGATGACGCCAGAGACTGCTCCTGCCTGTGTTCCCCGCAGGAGCAAGCTCTCTGGAGCCCTTGCATCTGTCTTCCAAGCTCCCTACTCCTATCTCACTCTGCATGTCTTGGTATGTTTGCTTTTCTGTGTACTTTGGACTCCAATGATCTTTGACTGCATGAGGGGGCCACAGTGCAATTTCTTCAAGCAAAATCTAAGATGCAGCCCTCCATCTCTGTGCTTACTCCTCTCAGGGTGGTACAGACAGCACTGGGCCATCACTCTCCACAACCTGGGCTGTGAGTTGGGTGATCTGGGGAGCTCTTGTTCCTCTGTGTCCCTCACACATCAGACTTATTCACAGATGAGTTAGCCATACCTTAATGACTTCATCTGGTATAGCTTCTTGTTTGTAGTGGGTTCCATACCATTCTTCTGTGCGATCGGTTTTTCCTTCAAAAGATTTGGAAACTATAGCAACCCTAGAGATAGATAGAAAAAACAAAGAGGAAAAAACATATAAACTCAAGTTGTATACATAAACTTATAGAACTTGACTCATGAAAATGTAAATAATATCCAAGAATGTATTGGGCCTTCAAGTCCCAGAAAATCCAGTAAGGCTTGCTTTGCTGAAATAGGCAATGTATAGAGGACAGAAGTTTCTGATCACAGTGTCTGTATCCTTTGGTTATAGCCCATAATTTTTAATGGAAAAAGTATTTGCTGGAAAGGTTTTTGTGGGTATGCTATTGACTAAAACTTTAAAAGAGTAGTGGCTTGGGGGGGAGGGGAACATATCTGTAATACTGTCAACAACAACAACAACAAAAGAGCAGGGGCTAGGAAAAAAATGAAACAAGGTCAGCTGAAAAATAGTCCTTAAAAAAGCAAAACAAATTACTTCTTCCCAGGAACAGCTCAGGCCTGGAGTTAACAAAAAGGGCTAACTAAACCTATTGGCTCATCCAGAGATCCAAAGATCCCAAAATCCAAAAATCCTCTTTTATTATTACTTGCTAAATTTGTGCTATGTTTTTTTTTTTCTCGGCCAGAGACGACCATCCAATATGTCTACTGCATATACATTAGCCTTCCTGCTACTAAGGGAACAGGGGACAAGACCAAAAAGCAACTATCTTCTGGCTTACTAAAAGCTTTCTTTGGCCCTAGCCCAGCGGTTCTCAACCTGTGGGTCGCGACCCCTTTGGGGGTCGAACGACCCTTTCACAGGGGTCGCCTAAGACCATCGGAAAACACATATATAATTACATATTGTTTTTGTGATTAATCACTATGCTTTAATTATGTTCAATTTGTAACAATGAAATTGGGGGTCACCACAACATGAGGAACTGTATTAAGGGTCGCGGCATTAGGAAAGTTGAGAACCACTGCCCTAGCCGGTTTGGCTTAATGGATAGAGCATTGGCCTGCGGACCTAAGGGTCCTGGGTTGAATTCCGGTCAAGGGCACATACCTCGGTTGCAGGCTCCTCCCCAACTTGGAGGCAACTAATCGATGTGTTTCTCTCACATTGATATTTCTCTCTGTCTTTCCCTCTCTCTAAAGATCAATGGAAAAATATCCTAGAGAGAGGATCTTAAAAATAATAAACAAACAAACAAACAAATAAAAGCTTTCTTTGATGAGATAGCAAAAACAGCCTAGAAGTCAGAAGGGGGGGAGGGGGGGAGTTCAGGAAGGGAAGTTAGAGGTAAAATGTCAAGAGGTAAGTGAACAAAAGATTACAAGGAGAGCAGCAAAAGAAACTCCATATCAATGGAGCTTCTGGTCCTGTGGAGGATTATCAGGGCATTTCTGACCCTGCTACCTTTTAATTATCAAAGTTGGGATCATTATGCTTCTACCTGCAAACTCAACCCTATGATGGGACCAATCCTACTCTAAATCTTATGGATATAGGAGTTCTAGGCCAGTGATGGCGAACCTATGACACGCGTGTCAGAGGTGACACACCAACTCATTTTTTTGGTTGATTTTTCTTTGTTAAATGGCATTTAAATATATAAAATAAATATCAAAAATATAAGTCTTTGTTTTACTATGGTTGTAAATATCAAAAAATTTCTATATGTGACACGGCACCAGAGTTAAGTTAGGGTTTTTCAAAATGCTGACACGCCGAGCTCAAAAGGTTCGCCATCACTGTTCTAGGCCAATAGCTTGGATGGCTTGCCATGAAGTCAGTTATTGGGTCTACTTCTCCCTTATGTCCCAATTCAAATAACTAGATTGATGTCTCTTCCTGCTTGTTCTCACCTGACCTCCCAGAGTTTGGTTCTAGCCTCTGAATGTTGGCCACAGAGCTGAAAGCCCAGTACTTGCAGTCAAAGCTCCCCGCTAGTCTGGCTGGCATGGCTCAGTGATTGAGCATCAACCTATGAACCAGGAGGCCACAGTTCGATTCCTGGTTATGGGCTCAACCCCCAGTGTGGGGCGTGCAGAAGGCAGCTGATGAACGAATGGTTTTCTCCCATCATTGGTGCTTCTATCTCTTTCTCCCTCTCCCTTCTTCTCTGAAATCAATTTTTTTTAAAAAGGAACCTTAACAATTGTCTGGTAAGTTCCATTATTAAGTTTAAAGCTCTTTCTCCTTATGCTGATAGGTTCTGTTCTTAGAAGGTCTATAATAAAATTCAGCAGGACTTAGGTTAATTTTTTAAAGAATTTGTAGCTGCAGCGAGGAAAACATATATTTAAACTGCTTTACTTGCCTTAAATGATTTTGTACGTGTTCTGAGTATTTTTCTTCACTATATTTTAATCATGTCAGTAAATGCATAAATCACCCTATGAACAGAAGTTTTTATCTCTATAAAGTCTAGTTTATCAATGTTTTTTAATAATTTCTGCTTATGTTCTAAAAAAATCATTGCCTATTTCAAGGTTTTAAATATATTTTCCTTTGTTTTCTTCTAGAAGTTTTATAGGTTACCTTTTATACCTAGGTCTATAATCTTTCAAATTAATTGTTGTGAATGGTATAAAGGTCAAGTTTCATCTGTTTTCATATGGATGATGGATAATAGAAAAGCACCATTTGTTGAAAAGCCTCTCCTTTCCCAATTTAATTATGTTGGTGCATTTGTCAAATAATCAATCGACTTTAAAAAGATATAGGTGAAATTCAATTTTTTTAAAAAAAATAGAGTTTATTGATTTTTTACAGAGAGGAAGGGAGAGGAACAGAGTTAGAAACATCAATGAGAGAGATCAGCTGCCTCCTGCATACCCCCTACTGGGGATGTGCCCGCAACCAAGGTAAATGCCCTTGACCGGAATCGAACCTGGGATCCTTCAGTCTGCAGGCCGACGCTCTATCCACTGAGCCAAACCGGTTAGGGCTGAAATTCAATTTTAAGGCAGAAATATCATGTGGTAACTCATAATCGCTTTAGGGCTGACCCTCCTCTAACAGTAATACCTCTGTTACTGTAGGAGCTCTTCTAACTTTTGATCTCCTGGTTGACCACTGGTTGGTCAGAAGAATTCTGAGATTGTAATCCTCACTTCCACTTAAAAAAAAAAGAAGGTGTCCTCATTTGTTTATAAAACCAGATAGGTGAGCTGATACCTTGGGCATTTGAGTTAGGATAAAGCCAGGTTAAGATGATCAATTATTATATTTTATTCATGATAGAATCTTCATGTTTTAGAGATACTGTCTCAAAATATTTAGAGTGAAGGGAGGATAAGTGAAGAGGGTAAAGATAAAAAGACAGGCCATGTACTGACTATTGAAGTTAGATATTAGTACATTACACAATTCTCTCTACTTTGTAATCATGCTTAACAAAATGTTTTAAAGCATTTTAGTCACAATTTCATATTTTCAGATTCTGATCATTACTGAAAATGTAGTATGTAGCAGTAAAATCTGTAGAGTGACTCACCGGACATTTTCTGGTCTGAGTTTATCAAGAACCATCTCTATTAAATCAGGTCTAAATTCTTCCAGTAAATATTCAGCTGTGAGCACTTCTTCTAGGGGATAATACTTTAAAACAAACAAAGTACAAGACTAACTTAATAAGAAGCAATCAGATATCTAACACGGGAAATACATTATTTTATATTCCCCCTGCTTCCCCTTCATTAAATTTTACTCCACTAGAAAAATGTCTCGATCTTTTCTCTTTCCTACCACACTTTAAGCAGTTTCATATTGTGGTATGATTTTGTAGTTAATGCCCAAATACACTTACATTATAGAAACAAAATCACGTTTTTCCAGGGAAAAATGTAGTATTTCTGCCTAAAAACTGAGTATTTATTAAGGAAGAAAATTTGATGGTTAAATGCTGACATCTACAGGATTCTTAGTATAAAGTAAATACATTTTTATGAACAAAATTTCCTCTCAAATTTTTTTTAAAGAAATCAGACAAACATTTAGAGTTGTTGTGGGGGGGAAATGGCTTATATTTCTGGCTAGTGAAGAAAAATAAGGTAGAAGATGCTTTTCAGTAAGAGCAACTTCCAATATACTGACACAGATTGATTGATCCATTAATTCAACAAGTATTTAATGAACACCTACTCTGTTCTAGACACTGCTGTGGATACCAGGGTAGACAAGACAGATGATGTCCCTGTTCTGAAAGGAGCTTATATTGTAACTGGGAAGGAGGCAGATAATAAATAAATATTGTCATTATATTTATAAGTGCTATGAGAAAAATTATACAAGGGTAGGGGCATGATTGGGAGGTCAAGATAAGGACTCTCTGAGGAGACCCAAAGGATAAGAAGAACACTGACAGCCTGGCTGGTGTGGCTCAGTGGTTGAGTGTCAACCTATAAACCAGGAGGTCATGGTTCAATTCCTGGCCCAGGTACATGCCTGGGTTGTGGGCTCGATCCCCAGTTGGGGGCGTGCAGGAGGCAGCCAATCAATGATTCTCTCTCATTCTGTTTCTGTCTCTCTCTCCCTCTTCCTTCTCTGAAATCAATAAAAATATATTTAAAAAAGACAAAAATTAAAACATTATCAGTACAGCTTCATTTAAAAAAAAAAAAACAACATTGACATGCAAAGATCAGAGTGTTCCAGGTAGAGGAAACACCAAATGTAAGATGGAAGAATGAACTTAATGACTGAAGATTAGGCAAACAGTATCACTGGAGTGGAATGGGAATGGGAAAGGTAGGTTGGGGGAGGAGGGTATGCAGTATGGTCAGAGAGATAGGCTGGGGCCAGATCACCTTGAAGGCTAAGGTAAAATTGCGGATTTTATTCCAACTCTTGATGAGAAACCACTGAAGAACTTGACACAGAGGAGTGAAACAATCTATTTGGTTTTCAAAAGATCACTGAAGCTGGAAAAATAAACTACAGTGAGAATAAGAAAGAAACCAGGAACCCAGATAAGAGACTATAATGGTAGTCCAGGCAAGAAATGATGGTAGCTCAGACTAGGGTAGTAGCAATGGAGATGGAGAAAAGTGAATAAATGACCTATAGTTTTCATATAATTAGCAGTTGACATACTGTAGAATTGAAAAATATTGAAAGCCATTAAGTAAAATGCCTACATAATGAAAAATATTACAGATGACAATTTTTTAGAATGATGAAAATTAAGATTTTAAGCATGTTTTGACATAAAAGTTGGCGAGATTGCTACAAAGTCTAAAATTTCATACTGCAACTTCAATTTTTATAATTTGTATAGTATTGAAAGTAATATATGCAGGGTCACTGAAATAGTCTACACACCAATACATATAGCAAAACAATAGCAAACTTACATGCAATATTCCTGCGATCTTAGAGGTATAGCCCCGTGGCCTCTCTTTATCTTTAAACCTAAAAGCAACAGCATTCAAGTCCTAAAATGGAAAGTTAACCAAATTAGAGACAAGTCAACTATTATTTTAAAATAGCTTTTTGTGTGTGTATTTGGTTTGCACTATAGATTTTCTACTCTATACTTAACGTCATTACACTTACTGAAAAAATGACTATGCTTGCTTTAGAAATGTATAGAACATGAATGAAAATAGTTAGGAAAACTGTGGGGAAGAACCTTGTGAAACCCAACAGTTAGTTGCATAGATGATAATTTTACTGACCCATTCAGAGAAATGCACCCAGATTAGAACTACTGTCATAAATTTCACAGAGATTATACCTTGAAACTTTTACTTAGGTAAAAAAGATGTCTCTCATCCTAAATTATATTTCAGAACTTTGATAAGCCTTACGGTAAATATAAAGTGCAAATTTTTAAAAGCCCTTTAAAAAGAATCATTTAAAATTTTGGAAGAGAAATCCCTTTTGTTTTATTTTTATTTAAAAAGGAAAAGAAGCCGAACCGGTTTGGCTCAGTGGATAGAGCGTCGGCCTGCGGACTCAAGGGTCCCAGGTTCGATTCCGGTCAAGGGCATGTACCCTGGTTGCGGGCACATCCCCAGTAGGGGGCGTGCAGGAGGCAGCTGATCGATCTCTCTCATCGATGTTTCTAACTCTCTGTCCCCCTTCCTTCTTCTCTGTAAAAAATCAATAAAATATATTAATTTTTATTTAAAAAGGAAAAGAAAAGGGGGAAAAGAGAAAGATAGCCAAGCTTTTCCATATATACAGTAAAATCACTTTTAACACCATAATCATATATAAGACAATTCACTACTTCTTTGAAGTTTGCTACAGAGTTTTATTACCAGATCTGAAAATAAGAGAGATCATGCGGCCTCAGACACAGTAAAGTAAGCCGATACAAGCTCAAGAAACTGCTGGCATTCTTCTGAGAGACAGAAAAGCAAACCGATTTCTTCCCTTTTCCTTCCTGAAAAAGGTTATATGATGCCATCACCTTTAATTGTGCCCCAGGCAGCCAATCAAACTAAGCCTTAACTAAAGCTACTATGCATTGCAAACCTTTACTTAGATTAGGAAAAAAAAAAAATCTTCAAAAGTTTCACTGGGCCTTAAATTTAAATTAATTCACATATATATGTTTTCTGAGAATTTTCCTTAAGAATAATTTTGGTGAAACAAAGGTACCTTGCACTCTTGGAAAACCCATTCTTGAGGTCCTTCTGCACGTAACTTCTGAATGTATTGAAACATGTGCAAAATTATATCTTCAACATGTACTGGAAAAAAGGGGCACACTTAAAAACCATTCAGTCCTCAAATCCTTTAAAGCAGTGAGCTCGCTCCTAAAGTAAGCAGAAGATGGTCCCTCTACGAAATGGAGTTCTCACCTCCCTGAGACAGGTTTTAGGGTCCCACAAACAAGGCCCTCTAGGCTTTGGGATATGTAATAGAATGGGCTCTGGGATAATAAATGAGCAAATGAAAAGCCAAGTACACATTTGACAAGTGCAACATAATGATCAGATGTTAAGGTGGGAAAATCATCCATGAAACGAAGGGCACATTGCACATGAAAAGTACAATGGATGAAGTGTTTATAACTTCACAAACATAAAACAGATCACAGGTAAGGAAATTAAAAAAATAAATCATACTAAGTCATTTTTCATTCAAAGACAAAAAAAGTCAATACTTACATAATCCTTCTTCAGTTAAGTCCACATTAATGATAAAAAACATAAAACCTCGAGCTCCTTCCTTCTGCCCGCCAACAAGAGTATTTACCCAGCCTGTAACAATCAACGCAAATAACATGATTGCATGTGTGGCCTCCTTTGGGACAAAGGAATCTTTTTAAAAATTCACAAAAGGATTAGAATGGACCTCCTGCAGAAAAGACTGGGGGGTGGAGGTGATTAGAAGAAAGAGCAGAAAAGCAGTTTCATATAGTGCAGAAGACTTAAGGGATTTGGGGGGGCTTGGAAGCTTTCTTCAGGACTCCCCAAGTCAGTTCCCAAATCAAGAGTAGACTACCGTGTAAGTGTATGTGAAAGTGAAGCCTAAGTTGAGAGGGGCCTTGGAAATCCTTTACAGACTAGATCTTGGTACACCCTCTGGTTTGAAGGGTAAGAGCAGGCAAAAAAATTATAGGTACTGACACTTTATAGAGATAGTAAAATATATCCAATGTGAGTTTATACTTTTTGACCTCTTTTTATGTTTAAAACATGCACCATAACATCTTACGAAATACCTAACCTTTAGTGCTCAATGCTAAAGGATAAAACAAATGTTGGGGGGTGGAAGGTCCCCCAACGCAAAAAACTAAGTACACCTAACAACCACTACCTTTCTCCCCCATAAACCCAAAACAGTCTCTCATCCAAAAATGTTTTTTTCACAGGAAAATATTTAGGAGGAAATGAGAGCCAGAGTAAAAAGATATAGTGGAATATTATGCTCAGAAGCTGGTGCCCCAAAGACTTACCCTTTGATTTAAGTTCTGATAACAGACTTCCAGGACCTTCATGTCCAATAAGATGACCAAGATAATGACCAGGATTTGATTTATAGTATTTCTGAAGGTCAGGTATGGGAAATGTCACATAAAGATTCCTAATATCCTTAATAGGTACGATTTTATACATTTGCTGGAGGGGGGAAAAAAATCACAAAAGATTAGCTACATACAACTCTCACTGAATAAAATACAGGGTGTGCCCCCCCCCCAAAAAAAATGGGTGTCCCTCAAAAATATATGCACACTTTAACAGCTGATAGCTCAATTTTGAAAATGAAATGTATTTTCATAAACACTGCCTTTATGATTATTCAAAGTGTGTATAAATATTTTTGGGATGACACCCTATATTTATAAACTATGAAGAATACTGATTTTCATAGAAGAATTCAAAATTCAAGAGAGAATCAACTGCCAAAGATGATCACATTAAGCATAAAGAAATGATGACCTGGCCTCTTTCTTAGTGGAATGTCATTACATTTTGTATAAAGTCCACGTTTTATCCCCTGGACTGTGCAGCTAAATACTTCTGGATGCTTGCCCTCTGGCACTGGATCATAGCTTTTATAGTCTGCTAAGGTTACAGCTACCAAAACTACCTTTAGCATGCAAAGATCAGATTATATTGGTACCTTTTTGATGAAACATGTCCCTAATAAATGTGAAATTGATTTGATTATCCAGATAAATAGTAAAAACTATATAAATAATAAAATCTTCAAAAATTTCCATCTATTATTTGGTAAACTAGGTATATATAAGTCCATAAACTTAAAAAACAAAACAAAACCAGAAATACATGTACTTACTTTAAGATGTTCTTCTTGGAAAGGGTGTTCAGGGAATTCTGGCAATGGGACATTTTTGTTCTCCACTTCAGAAAATAACCTTACCACCAGATCAGTCAAGTCGTCTAATGATTCTACAGGAAAACATATAAGGAAAACAGAACTTAATCTAATCATAACATATGACAAGTAGTATCTAAGGCCTTAGGATCTCATATATAAACATAAAATCACGTCATACACCTTAAACTTACACAATGTTGTATGTCAGTTATATCTCAATACAGCTGGGGGGGGGGGGGGACCTTAGGATCCCTGATAAACCTCAGAACTATTAAAGGAAAACCTAAATGTGTGTTTTTTTAAAATTGTTTCAGGTAAATTGAAGCAGTTAAGTCCTAGAAATGCCTCTATAACTTCTAAAGCTGTTAAACTATATTGATAATGAAATACTTCACGTCTACCTCTTACAGTCTAAAAACTGTTATGCTGGTCTAGATGGTGTGGCTAAATGGTTAGAATGTCAACCTAAGCATCAAAGCATTGCAGATTCAATCCCTGGCCCAGGTCAGGGTTCCTGCGGGCAGCAATCAATCTATGTCTCTCTCTCACGTTGATCTCTCTCTCTCTCTCTCTTCCTCTCTGGCCCCTTCCCCCCACTCCCTCCTTTCCACTCGCAATATCAATTAAAAAAATATCCTTGGGTGAGGATTAAAAAATTAATAATAAATAAAAAGCTGTTACACAAATGTTATACTGCAATAAATTTAGAAACAATAATAATCAGTTACATTTGGAAGCTATTTTTTCCATGATTCCCATACTAAATCATCAGCTAACAAACTGTGACATCCACCTTATAAATAGTCTATATTCATTGCTAAAAGTCAAATATTAGAGTTTGCAAATGATTGATTTTGTGCAGAAATAGTATAAAATGGTGAAAAGAATTCTGGGTAGAGGGATCAGGGGACCTGGATTCTAACCCTCGCTTTACCAAGCAACTATGTCAACGGACTACTTGGAGAGGCTGGTTAACCACTCCAGGTTCTGTAAAACTAGAAAGTTGGGTGGGATGATCACAAGTCTCTTCCAAGGTCTAACATTAAATAATACTTTATTATAATATTCCAAATTCACTCAAAGACTTGTAATCGTTGATAAAATTATGTGGCCACTTAACATGAAGTTCTCCTATGCTATTACCTACCTATATTTTTTAATAGAGTTATACTTGTAAAAGTTTATAAAGTTATAAGGTGTTCACTATAACAGTTTATAACAACAAAAACTGGAAATGACCTAACAGCTACCAATGTGTGGATGTTATGAAATGTCTGAACAGTAGAATTTAATGCAGCCATTAACGAGGGAAAGATCTATATATGAAAATGTCTCAATGCTCTATTAAATGAAAACTGCAGGCTATAAAGCAACGCCATGTGATGTATCTTATTTAATTTTTTAACAAACATACATATATGTAAGTATATTAACAAAATTCTACTTTTGGAAGTATAATAAATGACTTAAGGTGACAATTTTTTTTTTTAATTAAGGTGACTATCTTTAAGGAGAAGGTATGGTGGTTATAGGATGGGATGAGGAAGAAGAATTTGATTTCTATTTTATACCTTTCAGTGTCAGATGAAATTTTTTCCATGTATAGACTTTACTATTATTCTAAAAAGGAAAAAGTGAAAAAGGTTATCTTTTCATAAATAAGATAACCACTCACCTTGATTCTGTCTCCTCAAAAATAGGTTACTTATAAATGGTATAAACATTCATCACTTGTTACTGTCAGGAAGCATTTGGATCAAATAAGAAATGTCCCTTGATGTTCTATGACCCATTTTGAACTTTTCCATGAACTCTCTAGAGAGTTCTTAATCACTATTTGAGAACTGCTCTCATATAGTCTGAAATTCTCTTCTAGGCCTATAAATGTGGGCATTTTGCACTTTATTTACAAAACATATGTTATTTTTACTTTGATTTGACATGTTTGAAAGACCCCAAAATATCCAGAGCCAAATAAAAGGCAGATCAGTGGCTGCTTGTTATATGACAAGTGAATTCGGGAATCGAGCAGCAGGTATCTTTGGAGCAAGAGATGTCAGTGACAGCTCTGACATAAAGAGACATAGGTGGGACATGAGACATGAAGCAAGGTGAGCAGTCAACAAAGGTTTGTGGACCTGGAGTGCTGATGATGGCAAAGCTCTTCAGAGCAAGGTTCTATCAGGTGTGCCTTTCCAGTATTCTGGCCTAAAAGCATAAATTCACAATATGGCTTTTTAAAGATAAGGAGCTGTACAATACTGCACAGTCCGTCTTCACCACTAAGCTGTGAGCAGCCAAAGAACAGGGAACTAAGTCTCATTCATCTTTACATTATTAGTACTTGGCATCCCAGTGTCTGTACTTGATAGGTACCTATTTGTCAAGTGTCCAGGTAATTAGTGCTACCACAACTAGAGGGATGGCCCTGTGGGAGAACAGGGAAAAATGTTTTTGTCCCTTTGTGACAAAAATCTTCCACATGGTAACTCTTCTACCCTCCTCCAAGAGATCCTGCTTCCTCTTAACACCTCTGTACTCTAAGGACACTTCTCCCAGGCCCCTCATCAAGTCTACTGAGCTTAGCCCAGGGGGCCAGTCACACTGGGAGAGTGATGTGTACACGATCCGGGAATTGAAACATCTCGTTTCTTTTAGACACTATTCGGATCTCCACTAAACCAAGAATACAGAGCAGCACTCATGTCTGATTCATCTGCTGTCATTAACCTGCTCAATAAGTGCTTATTAAAATCATGTTTTATTTTAATAGGACAAAGACAAAAACACAGCTGAAGCATCTATTCCCGGGACCAATGACACTGAACACGCTTGTCCTACCTACATTTAGAAAACACGTAGGATTATAAAGTATACTTTTTAAAATTAGCCCTCACTTCTTAGACCCATTTTATATCCTGGTTCCTATTGCTTATTTTCTTTCCTTTATTTTATTTTTTTTAACTTGTGGACATTTTAATGAACTTCCCTCCATATAGCTTCAAGCTACCAGGACACAGGCCCCACTAACACCCTAATCTTCTCCTCAGCTCTTCTGCTGAAGAATTTGGCCTTCACAATGACAGGCTACTTAGGGAGCTTTCCCATCCTCAGAACTTAGTAGTAGCCCGACTGCACCACATCAATGAAGGAGCAGCTCCAGTCTTCCTTTTGGCAGCATTTACTTGTGTCTGCTCACTTGACCAGGGTCCACAGTTTATCAACGTTGACAGTTGGGCAGAAGCTCTGGTTCCTCTTTTAAGTGGTAATGCCTCATACCAACTTTCCCAAAGTAACCTGGGTGATATTTGTCGAAGTTGATCCTGTGATGATGCAAACCACCAGCACTACCGCGCCCCCCCACCCCGGGTGCTTCCTGTGCTTGCTGATGTGGCCGTGGCCGTGGCTCACTTGGCCCCGAAGTTTTCGAGTCTTCCTCAGTCTAGGTGGCATGTTGGTGGCCAAGATGCAAGAGCCCTATTGCTTATTTTCTAACTACAAAAGTAACATTTGCCAATAGCAGAAAACTTAGAAAAACAAAAGCAAAAAGAAGAGAGCAAAACTCATCCATAATGTCATGATTATGGAATGCTAAGTGTAGCCACCATTCATGAACCATTTGATATATGTCCAGCACTACACGGACATTTTGTCTGCATTATCTTAATTAAACCTCACAACACATGAGTTATTGCCTCCATTTTACAAATGCAAAACTGAAGTTCAGAGAATTGAAGTAATTTTGCTAGCTCACAGCCATACAACTGAACAGGTAGTATATTTGGAATTCAAACCCAAGCTGTCGGACTCTAGAGGATGAGTTCTTAACCACTATCCCACATTATTAAATTTCTGGTATGTGTTTTTCTACTTTCTCTTATATCTCCCATTTATGTCTCTTAGAATTTTTTTTACATACACAAATGAGATCATATAGCCCATGGTGCTTTTAGAGTGCTTTTGTTTTCTACTTTGTTCCCTAGCACCATTCCAGGCATTGGGAACAAAGCAGTGAACAAGATGCTGGTATAGACAACCATAAACAAATATTAATATTCCAGGAAGCAATAAATGTTATCAAGAAAAATAAAGCATGTCAGACAGAAAGTGGGAGAAGGAATACTATTTTCTATAAAATATTGTATTATATTGCTATTGTATCACTATTTTAACCAATCTCCTATTTTATTTTATTTATTTTTTTTAAATGTTTTGTTTTGTTTTTTTAAACATATTTTATTGATTTTTTACAGAGAGGAAGGGAGAGTGATAGAGAGTTAGAAACATCGATGAGAGAGAAACACATCACATCGATCAGCTGCCTCCTGCACATCTCCCACTGGGGATGTGCCCGCAACCCAGGTACATGCCCTTGACCGGAATCGAACCTGGGACCTTTCAGTCCGCAGGCCGACGCTCTATGCACTGAGCCAAACCGGTTTCGGCACCAATCTCCTATTTTAAACATTTAGATTGTTTCTAACTTTTCACTAACAAGTACTATATTGACCAAAAATCCTTGTACATCACCTATTAGAACAACTCTTAATTATTTCCTCAGATTGTGCTTCTAAAAGTAAAAATGTACCTTCCCCCCTGACAGATCCTCCCTTTAACAACACAGATGTGGCAAAAAGCCGGAGCTCAGGTGTATACGGGGTGGGTTTGCTCTGCCTCCTTTTTCTAATAGTCAGTGTAAGGACATTAGCCTGTGGTAAGCACTAGGAGGCCCACTACATTTTAAAGGTAATGTATCTTGTTAAAATGTCCTCTAGAAAGTGTAACTGTATAACTTGTATACACCTCTGCCAATACAAGAGTATCCCTTTTCTATAATGAGTATTACTTAAAACCAAAATTATGGTAATTCAATAGAGGGAAACAATATATTATAATTAGTTTATTTTCATTTTTTAAAAAATAAAATTTTGGCCCAGCCAGTGTGGCTCAGTGACCTATGAACCAGGGGGGTCATGGCTCGATTCCCGGTCAGGGCACATACCCGGGTTGCAGGCTCGATCCCCAGTATGGGGCATGCAGGAGGCAGCCAATCAATGATTCTCTCTCATCATTGATGTTTCTATCTCTCTCTTCCTCTCCCTTCCTCTCTGAAATCAATTATATATATATATATATATATATATATATATATATATATATATATATATATATGTACTAGTGGCCCGGTGCACAAAATCTGTGCATGTGAGGGGGTCCCTCAACCCTCTTCAATCCGGGACCCCTGCGGGATAGGGCCTAAACCAGCAGTCAGACATCCCTCTTGCAATCCGGGACTGCTGGCTCCTAACCGCTCGCCTGCCTGCCTGATAACCGCTCGCCTGCCTGCCTGATTGCCCCTAACCTCCTCTGCCTGCCAGCCTGATGCCCCTAACTGCTCCCCTGTCAGCCTCATCGCCCCTAACCACCTCTGCCTGCCAGCCTGATCGCCCCTAACTGCCCTCCCCTGCCAGCCTGATCGCCCCTAACTGCCCTCCCCTGCCAGCCTGATCACCCCTAACTGCTCCCCTGCCAGCCTGATCGCCCCTAACCGCCTCTGCCTCGGCCCCCGCCACCGTGGCTTTGTCAGGAAGGACGTCCAGAAGATGTCTCGTCTAATTAGCATATTACCCTTTTATTAGTATAGATATATAAATCAAACCTTTCTTGTTTACATTCCAAAGTTTTCCCAGTTTATCATCATCTGTCTTTTAATATTGTTTCTAGTTTTTGAGTTGTTATCAGGTCAAATCTTTCAATCTTTTCTTTTATACTTCCTTTATTTTATATGCCTAGAGCACCTATGATTAATTTATGTTTTCTTCAGTTCTCCATTAAAAATCGCCTAAGCTTTTTTTCTACAAGGAGATCATTTTCAAAAACCTCTGAGCAGATAAAAGGTAGTATTGTATTATCCTTCTCCCAAATACTTTGAAAAAGCCAAAATGGAAAACTTTTATTATCCAATTCAGTGAAAAAAGTTTAAGGATTCTTACCTCGACCTAAAACACAAATAGCCATTAAGTTGGATGAATAATAAGTAGAATGGAATTTCAGTAGCTCTTGTCTTACATCAATGCCTTCTTGGTTTGGTCTAGTCTCTAGAGTATATTTGTTACCTGAAAGGGAGAAAAAAACATGTCTCAGAAAACACAAACTACTAGTATGTGGATTTAAAATTTTGTAATTATTGCAACATCGCTGTAAGTTGAACCTAAAAAACAGAGTTCAAGCTGATACACACAGTGATTAGCCAAATATGTTTGAATGTAAGCTGGATAAACAAAACAGAATAGTGCAAAACAGTGACATTTTAAACTATAGAATTTTCCCTCAGGAACTTAAAGTGCTTTATAAAAATTATACTTCTTAAAACCCCGATGAGATAGTAGGTAATATGAGCACTTATAAGATAAAATTAGATCCACATGGCCTTCATTCACACTTATTTTAATTCCCTAAGTGCTACACCATTAATTTAGCATAACCACTAAGGGATCTTTTTGGAACTTGCCAAGTTACTTGTGGAAATAAACGTACTATTCTTGGCTGCAGCACTAAATCTGTGAGGTAAATTTTCATGAATTTGATCTAGACTGGTAAAAATAAGATGTAGTGCTATTTTTACAAGTCTCAAGTGATAATACCACTACGAGATCTCTTCTGAAATCAAATAACTAATCAAATTAGGATGAAATATGCATGTTAAAGCAAATACTCAAACTAAGTACTACCTTTCTAATAAGGATATTTAGAGACTGAGAGATGGAATTTCAACAATTGGTGACTCTAAAAATGGCACCTTGACTAGAACTATCTTAAGATCCTACTTAGAATAATAAATTTTATTATTGCTCCTGCTTAAATGGGCTCCTGTCTTTCATCTGCAGACATGAAACTATGGCAGAACATAGTCTTGATGTAATTTTCCCCTTTGGGTTAATAATGGTTGATGAACTGATATTGGGAGTCCCTTTTTTACTAAATTGGATATCCAAAGAGAGCCACCAGATGGCGATCTTAGACCCAGTCTTTCGATCCAGAGAGCTGCATAGTATTTGGAGCCAAGATTCATGCCTCAGGATGCTTGAATTAACAGATCCAGTGGAGCGTGTGTGCAAGTGCTCATTAACCTTTTTCAAGTCACAAAGCAATCCAATGTACTCATCTTCATAAGCAGTAGTCTGCTAGTCAAGTTTCCACGTTCTTAACTAGTCTTCTCAGTTTCTCACTAAAGATCCACTTAAATTCCAGATCAGCTCTACATGGGATCCTGGGACATCCCCTCACTTTTCCTAGAGGATTCAGATATTCTTAAAAGTACTCAGAGTCTCAATTCTTCAGGAAAAAAAGGAGCTTTTTGCCGGGTAATGGCTTGAAGCTCTCTCATTTTATGGTGAAACTTGACAATTGATGGTGTTTCCCTTTTCCACTAAGTGAAGATTCTAAAAGCCTCTGTTTCAACAGACTAGGCTTAGAGCTTCCTTAGTCATTTACATTGACAAGCTCAAATTCCTACAATATTTGGACAAAGATCAACACATTGGAACACACAAATTTAGAGAAATTAAGTTTTATTTCAACATGCTATAAATTTTATATTAGAAATTAGATTTTTAAAAATCTGAGTGTGATCTGATTTGCCTATTCACAATCTAGTTAATATTCTGGTTAAAAAAATAAATCTCAGATCAAAGTTTAAGAAGACCAAGATCATGGCCTCCATCTAGAACTTAAATTCTTTCAGGTTAGGGGGGCAAGGGATGGGGGGGGGGAAATGAGAGGTATCTGTAATACTATCAACAATAAAAAAATACTTTTAAACAATTCTTTCAGGTTAACCAGCTCTAGTTCATCCTTGCTTTGATTTTAACTTACCTGAATATCTTACCATTCTAATCTCTACTCTTTACCTTTAGGTCCACTTTAAAATACAGAGATAAAAGCAGGAGCATACACCAAACACACTAAGACATGCATCAATGGCAAAATACTGACAGTGTCATATTAAATGAGCCAAAGGACTACAGCGGAATACAATACAGCAAAGAAAATGAATAATCCACTCTTTATATGCAATAGTATAGATGAACTTCATAACTTTAAGGCTGAATAAGAGAAGCCATACACAAAAGTGTATATACACTTTATCATTTCATTTATACAAAACAAAAACTAATCTGGGTTATGCAAAGGCAGAACAGAGGTTGCCCTGGGAAATGGATAGTGACTACAAAGGACAGAAAGAGGGCTGGTGAGGTGCTGGTAATGTTCTGCTTTTGATTGGGTGCTGATTCGTGTGCTCAGGTTTTGAAAATTAAATGAGTTACACATAAATAATAACAGTATATTCATTCAACTGATTCTTCAACTAGTAGCAAAGGTAAAACAGCAACAATTTATCAAAACCACACATCCTCTTCTGTAAATGTGCTGAATAAAAAGTTAAATGAAAAATAAGGTGCCACTGTCAACAGCAATCTTGCTCATCTAAGGTAAAAATTGAGTGATACTGGATCTCTGGCTAAACGGATAAACAGAGGCAATCACATTTGTTTTGGAAAATGGCTTTAGCTACAAAGAGATACCATTTTACAAAGCTACATTCTCATTTGTTTGCTGTCTTCCTAATATGTGATGACAAAAAGGAAACGGTGGTCCACTTGGAAACATCCCAGAATGGACGTTCTGTATCCTTAGAAGCTCCTGAATTAGAAAAAGGAAAAGGTTCTTCACTGTGACTCTCTTGGGTCAGGATAGTCAGCTCTCAATACACTGACAAAGAACACGGATACCAGGTACAAATGCACCAGAGCCAGGCTTGCTATTAGAACAATTCCTTTAAGAGTTTTCTAAAAACAGGAAGGCTAGCTAGTGGAAGTTCTCAAAAAAGTTAGATATAGAAATGAAAGAAAAAGCAGGACATAATGCACAGAATTCCATAATTAGTCCTTAAATTACTGAGTGGACTCTATTATTGTCGGCACCAAAATCCCTACCCAGGTAGAGAGGTGCAGAGGAACGCTGGCTTTAGTGTTGGCAGAGCTCTCATCTAATCCAGGGTAAACTATCTTCCAGTAGTACTACCTTGAACAAGTTAACTTTTCTTAGTCTCAACCTCTTATCCTGACATTGTTAGGCTTACACCAAATTAGAGGGGAAAACACCTGTAAATAACAAGCTTTGGCCAGTTTGGCTCAGTGGATAGAGCATCAGCCTTCGGACTGAAGGGTCCCGGGTTCAATTCCAGTCAAGGGCACATACCTAGGTTGTGGGCTCAATCCCCAGTGGGGGACATGCAGGAGGCAGCCAACCAATGATTTTCTCTCCTCACTGATGTTTCTCTCTCCCTCCCTCTTCTTTCCTCTCTGAAATCAATAAAAATATATTTTTTAAAAAGTATAAAACAGTATTCAACATCCAATAAATAGAATGGAAAGTTTGATGACACCAAGGGCTATTTAGGGACATGAAGTAATGAAAACTCAGACACTGCATGAGGGAGTGCAAATTAAATCAACCTCTATAGGGAACAATTAGATAATATCTGTTAAATCTGAAAATGTACATGTCCTACTACTATATAGTAATTCCACTCCTAGTACCCTAGGGAACTCTGTGTACAAGGAAACATGTACAAGGAATGCTCACAGCAGCAGCACTGTTCCATTAACAGGAAAATGATAAATACTGGTACATACATTCAATGAATTATTCAAATAGTAGCAAAAATAAGTCTGAAAAACTTATCAAAGGCACACTCACCAATATGGATAACCCTTAAAAATATAACATTGAAAGAAAAAATACAAGTGGCATAGGTGACTCACAATAAAATACCATTTTTAAAAAGATGTAAAAAACTATACAACGTATTGCTCAGAGGAAAACATATGACTAGCAATGTTTTCATAAAAAAAACATGGGAATGATAATCACCAAGCTTAAGATAGTGGTTACCTGTTAGGAGCTGGGAGGAAAATGCAATTAGAGAAGTATACATCAGATGCTCAAACTGTATTTGTAATGTTTGTGTTTATAACTATCTCTTTTATGACAAATGATAAATCTGTAAAAGTGTCAAAGTATTTAACATAATACTTGTTGTATAATAGAAAAATACACAATAAACAGCAGCTACTACTGCTATGATCTGAATTGTAGGGGGTACTTCTACCTTCTGAGTATATCACAGAAACTGTGGCAGTAAAGTAGGGAAGAAAGCTCGGCCAAAGGTCCGTATGACTTTCCTCTACGTAAGAATGCAGGTGTAGCCCTAACCGGTTTGGCTCAGTGGATAGAGCATCAGCCTGCGGACTGAAGGGTCCCGGGTTCAATTCCAGTCATGGGCACATGCCCAGGTTGCGGGCTTGGTCCCCAATAGGGGGTGTGCAGGAGGCAGCTGATCGATGTTTCTCTCTCATTGATGTTTCTAGCTCTCTATCCCTCTCCCTTCCTCTCTGTAAAAAATGAATAAAATATATAAAATAAAATAAAAGAATGCAGGTGTGGCCCGGCTGGTGTGGCTCAGTGGTTGAGCATGAACCCACAAACCAAGAGGTCCCCAGGTTCAATTCCTGGGGTAAGGCACATGCCCAGGTTTCAGGCTTGAAGACCAGTAAGGGGCATGCAGGTGACATTGATGTTTCTATCTTATCCTTCTCCCTTCCCCTGTCTCTCTCTCTCTCTCTCTCTCTCTCTCTCTCTCTCTCTCTCTCTCTCTCTCAAATCAATAAAAACACTAAAGAAAGAAAAGAAGACTGCAGGTGTAGAGAACAACGTGAATATGGCTGGGATAACAAATAACAACTTAGTCTCCACACTGTCCTAATTTAGTGCTAATTCAGCTGGGTCGTGTACATCAAATCAATTGCTGACTTTCAAGGAAATAGAACTTATTTTCCTAAAGTCAGCCATATATTTCTTACATTCTGTGGGAAAGACTGAAGTTTTAAAAATCTATTTTAGAAACTACAGCTGTCTCCAACTGTATGTCTGATAAGGTTCTCAAGAAAAGGTCAACTTGATCATTATAATCATGAAAATCTTAAATGTTCTCTAAAAATCCAGGATTAGCCAAACCGGTTTGGCTCAGTGGATAGAGCGTCGGCCTGCGGAC